CAAGTCCTACGTGCCAGCCGTGCCCCCTGCCTGCTGCTCCTTCCTCTGTTTCCCCGTGGCTGGCCCCCCTCCTCACTGGGACGTCGCCGCCTCCACTGCTGCTGTAGGTGGCCTTCCTTGACTCTGATTTTTGACTCTCTGCCAGGTCTCTCCCTGTTAAGGAGGGATATTATCCGTCTTGTTCTCTGTTGAATGCTCACTGTCCAGCAAGCCATTAACGCAGCGTGGCTGCTCAGCAAAGACTCGTCGGATGGAGGAAGGCTGCTTTCCATGTTCTTTGGGCTCCTTTCAGCGAGGTCCCGGTCAGGGTCAGTGACTTTAGGTCTTCCTCAGTGGAGCATGAAAAGACCGTGGGGATTAAATTCCTGTGAATTGTGTCCTGTCCCCACCACTGCCCCTCAGCAGCTGTTTAATCGTATGACTGGAAGCAAAGTATTTAGCACACGCGCAGCAGGCATTTCCTCTATTACTGCACTGCGCTGTCGTCGGCTGTGTTTTCCCCTCCGGCCACTCACACCGGCGCTGGGCCTGGTTCTCTGTGCTCCCGGCACCTAGCCCTCTGCTTGGCTCCTGGCACAGCAGTGGGTGCTCCACACATGGCTGCATTAATTTTGACTCTTCCCACCTAAGAACTGGGGTCCCCTGGTTCTTGTCCAGGCTGTGTCCCTTTGATCAAGGACCACTCGGTGCCGGGAGAGGGCCGGGGAGAAGGGGAGGGGAGGAGGGAGAGAGAAGACGGCCACTGGCCGGGCAGACGGTGCAGCTCAGGACACAGTCTGACCCCGGCCTTCACTCCAGTCCCTAGGTTTGTATGCCGTGAATGCAAACTGACCCCAGCATCGCTTTAGTTTCTGATAAAGAGGATGCAGGAAAAAAGGGAGCGATCACATGATTCTTTTGTGGTTCCTAGTGCTTAGGCTTTTCAAAGGTTCCTGATTCCTTCCTTCCTTTGTTTCTTATGAAAGTACTCTGAGCATGAAAATACCCTGAGAACTGGAAGTTCTGTCTTATATACACACGTTTATGTAAAAGCTGATATGAGTGTAATTTTTAGGTAGAGTGATTCACAAAGATGAGCTGGGTGTCAACAGTCATTCAGAAACATTTTTTGAATGCCTGATGGGTGCCAGGTACTGTTTTGGGTATTGTAAATTCAGCAATGAGTGAAGCAGATATATTTTTATCTTTGTGGAACTTACATTTTCCCACTAGACAATAAAGGAGATAAATAATAAAGTAAGTAGTGTGGCAATTGGTGACCGAGAGCTACGGAGGAGAAAACAAAGCAGGCAAAGGAACAGGGAGGGTCAGAGGAGTAGAAATTCTAGACAGTTTGGAATTACGTATCTTTTTTCTCTTCCACCCCGTTCCATGATCAGGATTCATAACCCAGTAACTTTGCCTTATAGAGTCACCACTTAGTGTGATATGAGGTCAGTTAAGGAAAAACAAATCTGATACGTGTTTCATCAAAGCTTCTAATAATTTACTTCATGTTTCTGTCATCCATATTTACAAAAATTACTTTAAAATATTAAAATGCATACAGACATCCTAATCTGATATCCTAATGTTATCATCTTTTTATAACAATAAATTTAAATAAATATTTAAAAATCCAAAAGACTAAACTCAACAAGTTGTATAATTACCAATACCAGCCTATGAACACAGTTTGTTTCTGTAATACCTAAAAATATCAGTTGCTTTTGAAGCTGAAAGATTAAATCAACACTATGTTATTAAAATTAATTTAAAAATGATTTTTCTCTTCTAAATATTAGTGCAAGAAGTAAATATTATTAAGAGAGCTGTGGCCTGAAGCATTAGGTCAGTTTGATACTGATTTTCATACACAAAGGACGTGCACAAGAATTCCAGTAGTTCCGATCCCCTATCCAGAGCCGCTGGGAAGTTGTTTATTCTTTGAGGGCCCAGTGCTGACGTCAACGCACTGAGTAATGTCATCAGATTTCCTGGTGGTGGTTATTTTGGGGGGTGGGGGGGCGTGGTAAGTGGTTGTCGGACTTTCCTGGGCCACTGCCTCACAGAGGTCCTGAGAGCCGGATGTGCTCCGTAGACAGGATGCAAGGTTAACATGCAATCTTATTGAGTAAATAAAGTGTTCAGTGGTGGGACAGAATCGCCAGAACAGTGATGCTTAAAAATGATATTGCTAAAATTATACTGAGGCAAAATTCACAATCCTCAGAAAATTAATTTATAGCTTCTTTTGTTTCTTAAAAGTGATGCAGTGGTGAGTTATTTTCGTAAGTTGGGATATAAAGTTATGTTGTTCTTTGTCTATAAAAGTTGCTTCACGCCTTTGGGTCCAGACTTGTTCTCCCGGGAGGGAGGGAGCTTTGGCCCTGAGCCAGCCACACTTTTATCTTGTCCCTCAGCTTGTGATCAGTGCCGTATACACACACACATGTAGTTTTTAAAAATCATAGCAGTCACTAACATTGACTATTTTTATTAATTAATGCCTTTAACTTTATTTTTCTCCTCCTGGTTTCCTCAATTTTTTTACTGTTGACTTTCTCAAATGTGGACTTGAAAGCTTATTTACTTAATTCTTGTTTCATGACACAAAGGTTTAAGGCTGTGATTTTTGCTTCTGAATGAAATTTTGCAGTATCCTGTGAGTCTCACTGTGTGATATTTTCATTGCTATCATTTTCCAAGCAATCTGCAGGTATAGTTTGCATTTCCCTCTCCGATCCAGCAGTTATGTGAGTTAATATTTAAAGTTTTTCTAGGGCAGGGGCATTTGTCGTTGATTTTGTTTAAATGTATGCTTTTAATTTCTGCTTTGGTTGCATTATGGTTAAAGAGTAAGAACTGTATGTGTTTTAATTTTAAGACTATGTTTTCAGGTTTTCTTTGTGATCTCGTACATCATGTATTTTTACACTATTCGTAAATATTTTCTTTCTCTCCAGTCAGACTTTATTTTTTTATCTACTTAATTCTTTTTATTATTAAAGATTTTATTATTTTTAGAGAGAGGAGAAGGGAGGGAGAAAGAGAGGGAGAGAAACATCCACCGGTTGCCTCTTGTAAGCACCCTGACCAGGGGCCAAACCTGCAGCCCAGGCTTGTGTCCTGACTGGGAACTGAACTGGCAACCTTTCGCTTTGCAGGACGACGTCCAACCCCCTCGGCCAGGGTGGTCCGGGCTGTTTTATTCGTCATAGCAACCTTTGTGAGTGTCCTGCGTCAGAGGCTGCAGACCCCTGTGCCTGCAAGGACCACATGGCACCAACCTACTTCTGTGTCTTGTGCAGCAGCAGCCTCCCTCCTGCTGCTGGGCTTTCCTGCTCTTGTGGAACTGTCCCCTGCACCAAAGGAAATTAACAGAATGATTTTCTTTTTCTTTCTTTTTCCTGTCGTTTCTTCCTTCTCTTTCTTTTTCCTGAGTAGTGCCACTGTATACTCCAAGCACTAGGCCTGTATCATATTCTTGCGTTCATTTGTTGCTTTAAAGTTTGTTCATAAAAAAACCCACAAAAACCTCACCATTGAGAGCGGTCCCTCTCCGTGCCTCTGCTGTCCTCCTCTGTGCACTGTGGGGCGTGAATGTGTGGACCAGATCTCCCTCGGAAGGCTCTGTCCTCTTGAACACCATCTCAGACACGGTGGCTCTGACAGCGGCCGTGCCTCTCAGGGTGAGGCCGGCCGGGCACTCACAGCTCGGGGGCTGGGTGGTGCCGTGGGAGTCTGTTCTCCCCCTCCCACCCTGCCACAGCGTCCTCCCCCTGTGTGCGGTCTGGAATAGCAGCGACCCTCATTCTCATGCCTCCTGAAAGACGAAACTCCTACAAAGTGAATCAGAAACTGGGCCAGTGCTCCGTAGTTAGTAGACATCAGCTTCTAGCACTTAAAAACATACACATGGGTCCCCCCAGCTGAGCGGGTTTTGTTCCGTGTGTTTACTGTGGGATGGGCCATGCCTGAGGGGAGAGGCCCGCTGTGGGCCGCTGCTGGGTAGTGTCTCGTTCTGCTGCTGCTGCTGTGTTGTGGGTACGGAGTCGTCCCATCACCCAGAGGCCCCCGGAGGGCGCAGAGGCCTTCAACCCATGCACGCAGCGTTTCCGGGAAATTGCAAAAACGTGTCTCTTCCTCTGCCTAGGGACCCGGGCCAGGGTTCATCGCTGCGGGCTGGACTTCAGCCCCATGTCCCTCCCAAACTTCCCAGTGGCCCTGGGTTTGCGGCCCCAGCTATAGAACTAAACAGACTGGTCAGTGCAATCCCAGCTGCCGCTTGCTGGCTGTGTGGCCTTACAGGAGGTCCTTGGAGCCTCAGCTGGCTGACTGAACTCCCACTGCGTGGCTGTTGAGGTTCAGCGTGGTGGTGCGTGAGCAGCCCTTAGCCCCGTGCCCGGCGTATGCCCAGCCCTCCGTTGGCGCCATGACGATTATTCATGGCGGTCTGGTTATGTATGACATTGCGTTTAACTTCGTGTCTTTCAGTGTTCAGTTCTCAAGTAGATAAGCATTTATTGACAGAGCACTATGCTCCTCTGTCAAATGAAAGTGCCGCCTGTTTCTCAAAGAGGCTTCTCTGGCTCGGAGATCCCATGGCTCTGACTGCTGGAAGCTGTTATTTGTGTGCCATTTGAGACCGAAGATTTCATTGTCACAGGGAAGAGGGAAGTAGGCATGGAAGGAACCAGCGTCGCCAGTGTCTGATAATGGGGGCTCTTTATGTTGTCACCTCATTTGACGGTTGGTGGAAGGAGGTTGAGTAGCTCACTTACAGTCACACACAGGCGGGAAAGGAGAGCCAGGACTTCGCTTGTTTCGTTTCCACTCTTCGCTCTCCACCTTTCCTGGGGTTACGAGGAGATTCCCGGGTCCCTCTGTCCAACAACCATTTACTCTATGTCATTCTTCTCTAGAGGAGAAATGTCAGCTGCATCTGTGGCTCTGACTAGAGAGAAAATTTTAAGCAAGCTTACTTTTTTCTTATATTTAAACAAACCTTTTTCCTACAGGTAGCAGCTGATGTGCAATTCGGCCCCATGAAATTTCATCCAGATCAACTTCAGGTAATTAGAAACCATGCTGCGACTTTCTCACGTCGATTTTCTTTGAAGAGGTTTGGGGAGGGGGGGGACAGTCTCCTATTCCAGACAACAGTGTCGGCACTAGAATTATGGGAGAGCGTGCACTTCTCTTAGAAATGCACATTGAGGTATTTACAGGTGAAGAAATGTCTGCAACCCGCTTTACAAGGTTCAGCAATAAAGAAAAGAAGGTATTGTGTGTGTGTGTGTGTGTGTGTGTGTGTGTGTGTGTGTGTAGGGAGGGAGTAGGGGCAGGGGGAGCGAGCGAAGGCGGCACAATGTTAACCGCTGGTAAACTTGAAGAAGGCTACCCTAGCATTCCTTGTCACTCACAACTTCTGTAGGTTTGAAATTTTCTAACATGAAAAGGAAAAGCATGTTCTTCCCTATGTTTCTGAATTCGCTCTAACAGCAAAAAATATCTATGAATTGTTTCATTCAAAATATTAGACAAAAATAACCAATTGTAATTGAGACCCAAAGTTATTTGATGTTTCCTGTGCACAAACACATGTTCACTATTCTGTTGTTGTTGTTGTTTTAAAAACATGTGGGAAAAGACTGGCAGAAGTGTGCTCTTTTACTTCTTAGCACTTGTGGTGGTTGTGCGCATGGATGAGCTTAGAGGAACTGGGAGCGGGGACAGGGTTTTGGTCAGCTCTGCAGCCTCTCCCATGCCACCCGGGCCCCCGGGAGGCAGTCCCGGTCTAAAGGCGACGGAGCAGGGTGCTCCTGACCAGGTGGGCGGGGGGCCTGGCTGGGTGGGGGAGAGGGCGCAGCCCCAGGCCTCGCTGACCTGGGCCAGGGACGGGGACAGCCAGCGGCTTCCTGGGCAGGGGCGCAGACGTTGCCTCTTGTACCTGGTGGTGTTCCTGTGTCACTGAACTGACAGGGCTTTGAGTATATCATTGTGGTCTACTTTACATCTCCTTTTTTAAAATCAAATTAATTTTTTTCAACTTGGAGCAATTACCTAAAATCTTGAGTCAAAACATTGAAATATGTTATATAATGTATTGAGCGTTCTAGGAGTTCGACTGAAGTGTTAGCATTTGCCATCTAAGGACTTGCCTAGTTAACTTCCTGTTAACTGAAATAGTTATGTGTGTGGTTCAATTGATTTAGTTTCAAAATAAAGTGCTTGATCAAGCCTTTGATGAGTTCTGCCAGGGGGTTTATTAGCAAAAGACGTAAGTATGTGGTCCATGTACTTGGCCTTGACTGAAAGCGGGTAGAACAGCACTGATTTCTAGGAGCTGAGTCACAATATCCCAGGGTTCTGCACAGGAGAAGAATTTATAGCGATAGATTATGTTCACCTCTGTGTACTCGCTTTAAAACACTTGGGAGTTTTCTGTGGCTTGTTGAGAAGTGAAATTCCAGCATTTTTTTTTTTTAAGTGTTTCTGCTTTTTTGATCCAGGTACTTTTAGTGTTTACCAAAGAGGATAACCAGTGTAATGGATTCTGTAAGGCATGTGAAAAAGCAGGGTTTAAGTGCACGGTTACCAAGGAGGCTCACACTGTCCTGGCCTGCTTCCTGGCCAAACACCACGACATCATCATCATCGACCACAGAAATCCCCGCCAGCTGGATGCAGAGGCGCTGTGCAGGTAAGCCCGAGACCCGGCCTGCGTGGTCCCAGCGGCGTTTGTGACAGTGAGGTAGCCCAGAAATACGTTAAATTCAGTGTCCTAATAGTTGCCTTCCATGCACGTAAAATAAGCAAGGCATTAGATGAGCACATCTTTATTTCTCGGTCTGATCTTTTTTGTTTTATTTCACTTTACTTTGCTTAAAACGGTAGGAAAGTATGGATGAGAACCATTAAGGGGTAAGGTGAAACCCAGTATGTGATTAACCACTACTGTCACCTGCATATTACTGCAGCAAGTTATTATAATTTTCCAGATGTTTGAAAATTGCCTTCTAATGTTAGGTGAATGAATGTGCCTTGTTTATACTACTTGCAGAATATCAGTATTAGGAGGGAATTCTGGGGAGCATACATAAGTCTAAGAAAAGTCATTTTTTAAAAAAGTTATTTGTTGCTGATAGAAGCCAGGCAAAGTGAAAGATTCATTTTTCCTTACTAGAAAACTTTATTTGGGGAAACACAAATCATAATTTTAATATAATACAAAGTTTTACACATTAATTTTAAGGACATTTAAAAGCTTGACTTTTAGGAGATGGAAGAGTTTTAAACTAACTATAACAAGGATTGAAAACTGAGATAACAAGAGAAAGACATGGCTTTAGAAGGTCGTTTGCACTCCCCCACACCTCTTTGTTGAGATGTTCAGACCTCTTCACACTCCTTGCTTGAAGGCCAGGTATTCTGTCTGCTCTGTTTCCAAATCTGCCAGTTGAGGAACCCTGCCTTGCACGCCTTCTCAGTTTTGGGCACGGCACTGTGTATTAGAGGCACATGGTTCTTGCCTCTGGGGAGCGAAGGCTGTAGTCGGCAGGACAGGCGAGCGATGTCGGCACAGGTGCCATGTGCCCGCGGAGGATGTACGTGCAAAGTGCTGCAGGTGCCCGTGCCGGGAGGGCTCCACACAGGGGGTGGGGTGAGTCCTGAAGGATGAGCGGGAGCTTTGGGAGGAAGAAAGGTGTGGAGAATGTCCTGGATGAAGGGAGCAGCACTTGCAGGGGCAGGCAGGGTGTCCGGGGCTGCTCCACTCCGCGGTGGGTGGCTGCTGGATGGGGCATCTGCGAGCCAAGGCTCGGGGGGTGGCTGGAATGGCAGGCCGAGCCGGTCATGGGGGCCTTGGGGGCAGAGCCAAAAGCCTCGGACTTCACCCCGTGGGCAGTGGGTGATGGATGCTATGCGTGGGTGGCAGGAGCCGACGGGAAGGTCACTCTGGTGCCAACTAGAAAACGGAGCAGGCGACAGACGGAAGGGGTTGAGGCAGGTCAGCTGGTTGTGCGGCTGTTCCAGGCCATCTTGTGTGGTGCCTGATGATATCAGCTTCCTGTCAAAAAACCCATGAGGGTAACAAAACTGACCACAGCAATGAGAAAACCAAAGCTCAGATGACAGATACACGAAGAGAGAGGCTGGGAGAACAGAAAGGGCCAGGGATCCCGCCGTAGCTGTGGGGCTAATAAAGAAGCCTGTCCTGGACTGACCTCTGCGTACGTCGGTCCCCGAAGCTGAAACACCAGTGGCCTGACAGGGAGGAAGGGGGAAGAGGGGAAGAGGCTTTGCGTCACCCCTACTGTGTGCTGCTGAGTCTGGGACGCCGGACTTGCTCTGACCAAGAAACATGCTCTGCCCTGGTGAGCACCCGCGCCTCCGTGAGCTGTGAGAGGCCGCCCCAGACTTGCTGTGCCGCTGCTCCTTCATCCTTGATTTTCCTTCTGCCCGCACGAGGAAACCTAAGACGGGAGCAGAGGGAGAGCACAGAGACATTTTTCCTGCTATGTTGTAAAAAGGGACAGAGGCATAAGGAGCCTGAGAACAGTCCTTCATGTATTGCAATTTCAAAACTGCACACTGCGTCCATTCTCAGGTTTAGCTGGAGAACCGGGGGGAGCTGGACAGGCGTCCACTGTGCAGCAGGCCCCTGCTGGCCGCGCTCACTGAGCACGAACTTGCACCCATTGGCCCGACTGCCGGCTGGACATTAAGAGGATGAGGCTGCTAACGCCAGGGGTCCAGCAAAGGGGTGTATGGGAGACTCTGACATGCTCTGCTTCAGACTCTCAGTCCCGTTCAGGCCACGGGAGCAGCACGAAGCGGGCAGCAAAAAGCCACCAAGTTACAGAGGGGGGAAAACAACCTTAAAGACTGAGAATGATTTTCTACAAGACACAGAGAAGCCATGTGCCTAGTGTACTCAGAAGAAATGAAGAGCCGTTCCTTTGTGCATCAGGAGCAGGGCTCTGCCCGATTTTAGAGATGCAGGTGGGGCACACCCAGTGCTGCATCAGGCCCCCAGTGCGTTCCGAGAAACCACTGTTGAAGGCAGAAGCAGGACTGAACTCAGAGTGCACGAAAGCCTTGGCACTCCGATGCTCTCGTGCAGTCTTTGGCTTCACCTTGGTGTGCAGGTCCTTTTTGCTGCTGTAAGTTCCATTCTCCCCCATCTGAAACTCATTTCATGCAGCAGAGGGAACAGTGGCAAAGTACAAGTAGTGGAATTGTGCTCTTTTAACTTTTAACTCATGAAAGGGCTTTGCTCTGTACTTGCAGCGAGCTTCTATCATGGGGGCCTTTTTCCCCATTTTGTGTCGAGACCATCATCTGCATTTTTTGTGGTGCCCCCAGTACCCATTTCTACCTTTTTTTTTATCATAGAATTTCTAGCGTTTAGTTGGGCATATGGCCACCTAGAGAATATACTGCATTCCTTAGCTTTCCTTGCAGTGGGCCAGTGGAAATGTCATGTGCATCTCCTGGGAAGTATCCCTGAAGAGAGAGTGCATGCCCTTCTTCCTGCTGCCTGCAACGCAGAGATTGTGGCTGGACCCCAACATCTATCTCAGGCCATGAGGAAGAAACCCTGTGCAGATGACAGCCGAGAAACATACGCCAGGGAGCCGGCCTGCTGCTGCTGCGGGGCGCCTGCAGCCTTGGACTGCCTCCCTCTGCGCGTCTTCCCTGCGGGAGACACGTCTTGTTTCAGCCACTGCTCCTTGGCTGTTTCTGTTATGCATAACCAAACTATTCCCAACGATGGCCCAGGGAGCGTGGTTTTCAGAGCTTCCCATGCACTTGTGCAGCCTTCAGGAGCTCTTGCTGCAGATTCGTGCCCCACTTTTTTTTCTGACTTCTTAAAATCTGCCTTCCCAACGTCTGGCGTACAATGATGTCAAGTAATTTCTTTCCTAGTTTTCATGACGTCTACAGTAAAGGGTGTTATTTTTCAGCCTAGGTTCCTGGCATTTCTATTTCCCAGCCAGTTCTTGCTTCTTATGGACCAGAAAAAGTCGAGAGTGCACCCCTGCCTTTTTGTGCAGTGTTAGCCCCCAGTGCAGGACTGGCCTGTCTCCAGGGAAACGAAGCTCCACTCTGCCCTTTGTCCGGGGCCGCATTCCATATCCTGAGTAGATCATCAGCGGCTGCTTCCCGAGCTCATTCGCGTGGTTACCTCCTTGATGTTACACCTCTCAGATGGCCGGTTTCATCTAAAATGAGACCTGGTTTGAGATGACTGGCTACATACTTAAGTTTGCATTTTTTCCCTTTAAATCTTTGTCACGTGATAGAAATACAAACCCAGGAACAATTAGAGTGTCCCAAGAAGTCATGGAAATATGATTTGTGAGTCCACGTCTCTTCTTCCCTTTGTAAGAGTAGAGCTGGGGTGAGTGTGAGCCAACGGGTGTGAAAGCTGAACTGGCCACGCCGGTCACTCTGCCAGGTGTAAACCGCCCTTCCCGGGGCCCCTTCTCCAGGCAGGAAGCCCAGGGCACCCTGGGGACTGGGCCTGGTCAGTGAGCCCTGCAGGGACCAGCCTAGAGGGCTTGTCAAGCAGCCTGGCTCTCTCTGCAGAGGACGGGGGAGTGGAGCTGGGGGAGTGGAGTGGGCCCTGGGGAAAGCCGAAACGGAGAGACAGACAAAGACTTCCTGCCTGCCTGTCTGGCACCTAGAGCTCCTTTTCCCTCTGTGAACAACTTCCCTACCCCAGGTCCCCAGGTCTAGTCTGAATCTATTGCTAGGCTCTCAGCCTCTCTTCACCCAAGTTCCACAAGATCATTAGGCCCCAACTCCCTGAGGCTGGCGTGGGCGAAAGGGAGCAGTCTCACCGCTTCGCTCATGTACATATTGTCTATGGCGGCTTTCATGCTACAGTGGCAGACTCGAGTGGCTGTGCCAGTTTGTACGTCCTGCAAAGCCTAGAATATTCACTGTCTGGCCCTATACAGAAAAAGTTTGCCCAACCTGAGGCCTCCACTGTATGTAATGAATGAACTTCTCTCTGGGCTCTGCTACACACCATCCTTGAAAGAATCGAGAAATAGCCATTCTCTGTTCTGTGATTCGGAAGCGGCTCCGTTTCTTGAACCAACAGAACTGGGGTCCTGTGGGAAGTGTCCACTGTTCCCTGCCCCATCCCGGACACTTTCCCCAGGAGACCAGCACCCCTCTGACGGGACAGCCCTCACCACCCCCTCCCTCTTGAGCCTCCCTCCTGGGGGTGTCATTTTCCCTTCTGCCAAGGGGCTGAGTTCTCTCCCTCCTCAGGCCTGGTTCTTCTTCCTCGGAGAGACCTGTTTTCTTCCCAGTGTGGGGGGAGTTCAAGGCAGCTGCATGCTTTAGTGGAGCGGTTTCTCTTGCTACTCCTACCCCTCTGCATCACACACTCATTTCTGTCCCCGCGGACCTCCTGGCTGGTTCCCGTTCCCGGGCTTCCTGGGGAGCCGCTGCTTCGGAAGGTTGCATTTACTCGGTGGGAGCCTCTGCTCCGTCAGGCGGCGCCCGTGGTGCAGTGTCCTCTGCCTTCTCGGCCAGCCCTCCATCCTTAGCCTTTTCTGTCCGGCATTCCTTCTCCTCTTTTTAGATGGATGAGAACATCTTGCATTTCCTAGTTGGGATTTTTCTGTTGTTACTGCTTTTGCCTACACCCTACCTAGGAGCTCTCCCCTGCAGTGCTTGGCATACAGTGGGGAGCCGATCCCTGCGCTCTCCGTCCCTCTGTCCCTCGGGTCATTGCTGTGGTGAATCCACATGAGCTGGTGTTGCCTTCGGTCGGAAGAGGCGGGTGGCCTGTCTCATGTGAGCCCAAGGGCGGGAAAATACTCCACCCGAGACATCTAGGTCGACAAAGAGCAGCACAAGTAGCAGGCACATCTTCTCAGTTGGCGGTTACAGTCACGCTCCGAAGTTGTTAGGGTCCCCACGTCCTCCGATGGGGAGTTTGTCCCCCAAAGAGAGAGATCAAGTAGCCAAGAAGGTGAATCCAGAGTGTGAAGGAGGCGTTTGCTCCCCCTTCTGCCTCTCCCCCTGACTTTCATTGTTCTACCCAAACTGTCTCTCTTTATTTTTTTTAAGAACTGTTTTAAATTTATTTAAGAAAATTTTCTTTAATAGGTCTATTAGATCCTCAAAAGTCGCAGAAAACACAGTTATTATTGGTGTAGTACGCAGGTAAGCTTTTTTTTTTCCTTTTCTTTTTTTAATTTGAAATTTGTGTGTCACTGTAATGCTTGCTCTTAACAGAGGCCCAAAGAACAGCTTGCAGGCTGTGACTGCACAGCCCTTTCTAGTTTGGCCTTTTCTTTCTTATTTGTTCTTATTTTCTTTTGCTTTGACAGTCATCTTCTTGGGGGCAGTTGCTACCCTCATGCCTGGGCTTGTGATTGTGGACTGCCTTCCACTTTGTGAACAGGCATACAGCACTAGACAATTCCGTTCCTGAAAGTATGAGTGTTCCCAGGACTCTCTTCCTGCAGCCTTCTAATTCCTCACGTGCACGCACGCACGCACGATTTGAATTACACATAAACAGAGGATACCTTATATTTCACCCTTGTTTTGGAAGGAAGGAAAGGGTAAAAATACATGAGGAGATGGGCCTATGTATTTTTATAGATAGAAGAAATGTTTCTATGTCCTTTAAACTATTTTCCTGAGCCTTTTTGTGGGGGGAGAGGGAATTTTTAAAATACCTATTTTTATTAAAGGGGCATTGGCTCATAACATTTTAATCCGACATTTGCATATACCACATCTTACTCATTGCCAAACTCTAATTTCTTTTTCTCACCACACTATTGACCTTGTTTGCCTGTTTCACCCTCCTTCTGGGATTTTAAAAAGATACACAGGCAATAGAATAAGATGAGATAGGAAATAATTTAGTCTAAATTAAAGGGTTTATATATCAAATAGATAATATGGTTATTCCTGTATTTTGACTGTTAATGTAACCTTTATATTTCAAATATTACTCTATACTACCAAAAAGCTGTATGTGAAACTAAAACAGAAAACTGTTTCTAATTTTATACTTTTAATTTGTACCTTCCTCTAATTCATCCAAAAGTACTCATGATAGGACAGTCATAGTGTCACATAAATTAGTGGGCATAGAGGTGAGATGTAGTTGATGAAAACCGTCTGTGATCATTGGCTGTGTTCTTCTGCAGGGCAGACAGAGAGGAGTCGTCTGTGATGTCCCTCATTGCTGCTGGCTTTACAAGGGTATGTACGCCCTTCATTGCGCACGTGTAATTCAGCACGAGAAAGTATTTTATCTCAGTTCAGTGCCAGCAAAGGTTTTGAATTAATTTGAAGGAAAAAAATTGTTATCCTTGTGCTGTTACATTTTGATTTCGCTTTATAAGCTAGTGATCTAATAATCTACAACACCCTGCTTTCTTAATCGCTCAGAACTGTGCCTGTGAAAGTCCTCTGTAAGGGTGCACTCGCAAGCAGCTACACCCCAGGGTGTGTTGTTATAATGCCTGTTTGTAGACGTGTAACCTTAAAGTCACGTCAGGGATTCTGGAAATAAGGCCACCCCAACATGGCCCCCTTCTCTCCACCCCTGGCTCTAGTCTGTCGGTTTCTCCTGAGCCTAAAGGCTGAAGGTGTTGCCAGCTGGTTGCCAACAAGCCTTGGGAATCACAGTGGAGAGAACCTATGTGAGGCTGGCCCTTGGGGAGATTTGTAGCCCAAGTTTATATCAGTGAGGCAGTCAAAAAAACGTACACCATGAATTTAGTGTGAAGTTCTCCCAGGCACCTGCAGGAGCCAATAAAGATCCTCCCCAGAGGAAGACCCTTCGTCTTTGGCCTCAGAGATTCTCCACAAGTAGTTGCTGGAGGGCAGCAGACAGTGCCCAGCCACAGCTGACCGGTGCGCGGGAGGCGGGCTGTGAGTGAGAGCTAGTGGGAGGGGGCAGAGACACACCCTCACGCTCCTCAGGCACTAGAATCATCAGGCGCGCATTTAAAGCAATTGTGCTTATTATGTGTAAAGAAATAAAAGACAAGGTAAGCTTGGAAATATCTGAAAGGATTAGCAAGCTATGAACAGTGATATAGCCAATTTTAAGCAGAACATAATGGAATTTTGAGAAATGAACACATAATAAATAAAAATCTTAAACAGTAGGTCAGAAAAATTATTCATCGTGTAGCTCAGAGTAATAGAAAATAGGTTGGAGAGAGGCTAAGCAATGTGGAGCGAGAGTACAGGCGTAGCATGCACATGGCAGGAGTTCCAGAAGGACAGGAAAGAGAACGAGCAGCGCTATAATGTGTGAAGAGCATTTCACAGAACTGATGGAAAACTAGTTCGCACACTCAGAAATTCCAACGGGTAGTGACACGCACACAACCGAAATCCTTTCCCCGAAGGCCCTGAAAGGAAAGCATATTTAAGCCCTATTTTTTAAAAAGCAATTTGGTGCCCATCAATTATCAGCTTTCATTTCCCATTCATCATGAAAGATAAAGTATTTTTCAGATTCCAGTTGCCAAATTGAGAAGTTTGTTGACAAGAACCATCTTTGTTGATAGACACAGCAACTTAGGCGCGTGTGTGCTCTGTCTGCAGAGGTACGTGGAGAACCCGAGCCTCATGGCCTGCTACAACGAGCTGCTGCAGCTGGAGTTCGGGGAGGTGCGCTCGCAGCTGAAACTCAGGTAACGCCACCTCTGCAAGATGCCCCACGCCACACAGGACAGGTGAAGTGAAGGCCTGGTTGTGACAGCTGTCTTTGGGGGGGGGGGTGACTGACTTCCTGCTGAGACCGGGTTGGGTGGTGGGGTGGTTCCTCTCCTCACACAGGCTTTCGGAGTCTGCCTGGGCGCTAAACAAGTTGTCATGTTAGCAACTGGGGACTAAGATTGAAAGAGGGACTCTAAAATAATAATGAAAAGCAGGGTATAAAAATATGTACACTGAATTATCTGTTTTGGTTTTTAAGAAAAATACTTTTAATATACACACAGCCAACCTTTAAACATTGGTTATATCTCTGATAGATGACATATTCTGTTATTGATAATAATCATTTTGTTGTTTGCTCTTGATAAAGTTTTTTTTTTAAGTGAAATGAGTGAAAACATAGCTCCTTGTTGAGCTTTCAAGAAAAGCAGAAAAATTAGTAAAACTCTATGAGGCTGACAAAAAGAAGTCAGCCGCTCCCTGCCGGGCTCCCATGAGGGCTTGGCCACCTTTCTCCTTCCGATGCAGGAGAACGGTGCAGTGGGAGGTGCGGGTAGAGCCGGTGCTGTCCAACCAGGATCCAGAAACTGAGCCCCAGGGAGGCCGACTGACAACTGAGATCTCCCAAGCAGGGAACAGCAAAGGCAGTCGCTGCCCTGCCTAATTGGAAGCTCCCGCTTTTCCTCCCGAATGCCCACATTCAGTCGCCCGGGTCCTGTTTGTTCTGCTTCCTAAGTCTCTGAGGATAGGGCTCCTCCTCCTCCTCTTCAGGCCACTGTCTCCTCTTACCTGGATGGTGAAACCATCCACTCCCTCCAGCCAGCCCTGACGACCCCTCCGCGTTCTCCACACTGCAGGGCCACGCACTCTGTCTGTGCGTCTCTTCTGCAGCTACCACCTCCCCCCCCCCCCCCCCCCGCCCCCGCCTTCAGGATCCACCTCAGGCTCCAAACTGTGGCCCACGTGGCTGTCAGGGGTCTGCCCACGGCTTACCCTCTGTCGTTGTCTCTGCTCTGCTCTCCGCCGTGTGCCGGCTGACGGCCAGGGGGAGATGGCCGTTGTAAGGGGGCTGTGGGACAGAGACTTGGCAGGAAGGGAGTCTAGACTTGTTCTGCTGGATGTTAAAATGCACCAAAATATGGCAAGCGGCTTTGTGTTGCACCTAGATCAGTAAGCTCTGGACATAGATGAGTACATGTAAGACTTTGGTATATGAGTAATATGTCCATTTAAATGAACAAAGAAAAGGGCAGGCTTTGCAACGAATAGAATTGTGACGACTGGTTAACTACTTGGAAAGAAAATGAAGTTATAGCCCAATCTCACAGGCAACCCCCAAATAAACTCTAGCAGGCTAAACTCAGCATGACATAAAAGCCAGATTCCATGAAGGAAGAGATTCAGATTAGACAACATAAAAATGTTAAGTTCGCCTACAGTTTTAAAAAAACACCATGACCACCTTAAATAATGTTAAAAATTTAGACAACTAGACGACCCAAACTGGGAAAAACATATTCCTAAATCCATGTTTCTCTCCCTGCCCCACCTCTTCCTCTCTCTGTAAAACCAATAAAAGTTCCCTAGTGTGAGGATTAAGAATAAGTGTTTTCAAACACCAAGGACGGGGGAGAGTGCTCGCGAAATAAGGCTAAGTGAGCAAAGCCCAGGATAAAGCTCATCATCCCAGTGATCCCAGTTTTGTGAAAAGCATGTATTCACAATAGTGGCTTCAGGTGACCGGCCGCCTCTTTTCTAGCAGGTCTGTGCAGGGTTCTTGACTCTGTCTCACTCAGTCGCCTCCCAGGGACTCTCAGATGGCGGGAAGGGAGACTCAGGAGTTTCCGCCTTGTGCCCTGGGTCCCACAGCCAGTGAAGGGCTGTGGTTTGAATCCTGGAGTGTGTCCTGCCCCGTCCCCTGGTCCTCAGGCGGGAAGGAAGGGCACCACGTAGTGGTGTTGCAGGAGGAGTTGATTTCTTCTTTAGGCTTCTTAATATTTATCCCCTCTTTTTCGGATTAGCATTCATTACCTTTTTAATCAGACAAAAACACATTTAAACAAGGCGATGTAATACCCTGGGATTGTATTAGATTTTATAGTACTTATATTAATCTGCCCTTTTTTTTTCCTACCCATAAAGGGCTTGTAACTCAGTATTCACTGCATTAGAGAAAAGTCAAGAAGCAATTGAAATTATAAGTGAAGACCACATTATACAGGTTTGTTACTTGGGCATTTCTGTCCTTCTGGACTTCTGGGTTTGCTTGTTGTCGTTTTTAGAGTTGAACCCCTCCAATATGATTGTTTTCTTTCTTTCTGAAGTTCAAGAGACCAGTTTTCTCCATAGAGCATTATCAGAATGAAATATTTAAAATGTGTAACTTAAAATAAGTTCACTATAAGTAAGAAGAGGTGCTAGTAAATACTTTTTTTGTTTAAGGAGAGACTTTCACCCAGAAGATTATTCCTGGCAGGGGGGCGGGTGTACGAGGGAGAAGGTTTGTGAGCTCTTGCCTTTCTCATTGGTTTTGAAAGTAGTTTACACCTATATAAGTTTAATAGAAACTTCTCAAAACTGCACAAATAACCTAGGAATTACTGAACCAACCACCCATTATTAGCAGAGTGGGTTTGCGTAAGTGACTTACGGCAACAGAGCTCGCGCTTGTAGGAACGCCAACAGCAGGCTGTGGGTCCCTTTTGTCTGAGGGTAGCTCCACTTTGACTGACTTCCCTTGACTCTTCCTTGTGACCTTCTTGATAGAGAGCTGGTGTCCCCTTCCCCAGCTGGTGCCCCAAGAGACAGCGAGGTGGGTGAGGGCTCAGGGCGGTGTCACACAGGCCTCAGCCCCATCCTGGCAGAGCATTTTGGGGCAAGACGTGCTCTGGCTGCATGCGCTCTCATCTGTACAAATTGGGGGGAGTGCTAATACGAACAATGACCTACCTTTATAAGGGTGTTCCGAGGACTCAGTGAGTTACTGTGTGTGAAGTGCTTGCTACAGTGCCTGCCAAGGAGAAGAGACAGTTTTGGGCATTATTTTGTCATCATCCTAATAGTAATAATAACAACAACAATAATAATTATTAGCAGCACATGCATAGCTTTCCCATACATTTTTTTTCTAGTTTTCTAGGCCTATTTGAAATTTAACCGTAAAACCTTATTTTGCCAACGCTTCCTCATTCACAGCCTGCTTTCCAAATATGTTATTCATTTGCCGCACACGAGAGAGGCAAGCTGAATGTTTTCTCCCCATCAAACAGATGCGCAGTCTGAGACGTGGTGGGGCTCAGGGACTTGCAGGCTTAGGGCCTGGGTGTTCTGGATCCCAGTCTGGTGCTTTGTTCCACTGTTCATGATCTAAGCCTTAGCCCCTGGTCTGTCTCCACGGGGCTGTTTCCTTGGCGTTTCATTGGGAGGGGACCTGCTACCCGCACAGCCTCAGGCGCACCCTGCAGAAAGCCCCGCCAGGCGCCACTGGGCAGAGGCTTCCCTGGACTCCAGGGCTGCTCAGGGGTTGTGCTCTTGGGGCCTCAGAACCGGGTGGTGAGCCCCAGGCGCCTGAGCCTCAGCGGGGACACGTGGTGGCTTAGGGAACAGTCTTCATTGTCCTATTTTCAAAATTTTCTTTTAATTTACCCAATACCTTTTTTTTTTTTTTTTTGCTTCCCCAGTATGCAAATCCTGCATTTGAAACAACAATGGGCTATGAATCAGGTGACTTAATAGGGAAGGAGTTAGCAGAAGTGCCTATAAATGAAAAAAAGGCAGATTTGCTCGATACCATAAATTCATGCATCAAGACGGGGAAGGTAAGTAAGAGGTTAGTACCTTTTTTACTTTCACGTAACAGAGAGGGAAGGAAGGAGACTTAGCGTTTGTTGCACATTGACGTGCCAGGTCATCTCAGTCTTACTCTTCCCAGCAGGGCAGGAGAGGGGTGCAGTGATGTTTTCCCTGTTATTCCCATTTTGCAGATGAGGAAACTGAGGCCAAGAAAGTGTATGATGAGCCAGTAATCAGAGTACCTTTCATTGACACTTAAAGTCATTGTTTTCATCTTTGTAGTAACTAAGTTGATCCTCTGAATAGTTGATCTTCCAAGTAGTGGATGCTGATGAGAGGCACGTTCTCAGAGCGCACCCGTGCCCAGCGGTTCTCTGAGCCTCGTTCACGCGTGCCGCGTTTTTTGAAAACGTGTCCTATGTGCCAGGCACTCTGCTGGATTCTGGTTTAGAAAGAAAACCTAAAGACAAAGTCCTGCCTTAGAGAGCTCATATTCCGGGGTGCCAAACAGAAAGATGAGAGGAAATCACTGCTCAGGAGTGTGAAGTTGCGTAGCCACGGTGCTGAAGGGCAGACAAGGCAAGGCAGGCCTGGGCTGGAAGAGGGCTTCTCTCTCTGACCAGTGGCGTCTGACGCCGGTTCTAGGTTATGGTGAGAAGGAAGAGCTCCAGCTTGTCATAGACATTCTTAGTCTTTCCCGCTGGGCTCATCTTACCCTTTGGAAGTTGGGTGGGTAGGGACTATTAATAAGGTTATTGAAAAAAACCTTGAGAAGCTGGTGACCTGCTTTTCTGCTCACTGTGGAGGCCCCGGAGGCAGTGACACCCTTTCCCCTGTGGCCAGCGCTGTCCCGCCGCAGGAAACAGCAGTCTGCCGCAGGGCTGGGGCGCCTTCACAGGCTCACGCCCCACGTGCTTGGACCCCTCGAAGACACCATGAGTGGGTGGGTGTCCCTCTGCTTTCCCGTGGCTCTGAGCACATGATGATGATTTCTTAGGAGAAAGAGAGAAAGGACATCTAAGGTAGATGGAGGGACCCTCAGGTGTCAGGCGCACCGCCCAGGTTAGAGCCAGGGATCTGCCCACCACGTGAGAGGAGCATCCTCAGAAGCAAGGACAGGGTAGCCATCGCCTGAGACCCAGCAGCCTGGGGCGGGGGGCTTTGCCGTGGCCTCCCAGGCTGGCACTAGGGCCCGGGCCGCCCTGGTGCGCCTTGGTCTGACGGTAGCTACGCTCAGGTGGCAAGGAGAGGCGGACAGAGGCCCTGCAGCGGATGAGCTGTTGGTCCTGGGATCCCCCAGATCCAGGTGGGCGCATCTCACCCCGGAGTTACACGGCCGGGCTCCAGGCACAGGTACAAAGGGCCTCAAACTCGAAGAGCAGGAGACGTGTTCTCTGAACTCCGTATTGACAATGAGTGGAGAATCTGGAAGACGATGGCATTTCCGACCTCTGCGGTTCTTTATTTTCAGAGAGGAACCTTGGGGCGGGGAGTGTGGGGGGGTGAGTGTGTGTGTGTATGTGTGTGTGTGTGTGTTCAGGGTTCTTGGGAAGACGGGAAAAGTAGCCGTCTGTCCTTTGTCAGCAACGTGCTCGTCGTCTGGCAGCCCTGCAGCAGGACGGGGCGCTTCGCTGGGCCGGCTTTGCACCTGCAAGAACATAGGGCCTTTCTAATGGAGTCGCCCTGGGAGAATGAGGGCCCCGGGCGAGGTGGCACCCTGCTCGGGGGGAGAGTGCAGCTGTGCGCTGGAAGCCAGGGGGAGGCCTCGGAGGGCGTTAGGTGATGGGTGGGGGCTTTAGATTGTCAGATTCTAGGGGTGCCCATCGGTCAGCTAGTCGTGGGGGCAGACGAGAAACAGACGTTCATGCAGAGAACGTTGCCAACGCCGCTCTCTGCAAACCCCCGCCGCTCTCTGCCCTCAGGGGCGGCTCCTCCTGCTGGGGGCTGACGCCGTGGGACCTCAGTGTGCAGGCTGCCGCCCACGCTGCCCTGTGCCCCTCATGCGAGCTTCTGGACTCTTCCCCCTTCCCTTCCTCCCCAGGGCTCTGTCAGGGCCCGTGGCCCCTGTCTCCTCACATACCTGGGCCTTCCACTGCTCTTCTCTTCCAGAAATTTTGAGTGTTTTGCCTCAGAAAGTGGGTGTTGTAGGCGCTGAATAAAGGTTGGCTGCCCGGCGCCTGCCAGGGACAGTGACGTACGGCCGCGGAGCCCTTTATCTTTTCACAGTCATTAGTCTCCTCCGTGGAGTCTGTCACCAAGCCTGATGTCTGCTGAGCTCCTGCCTCTGAGTGTCCGCTGCCTGGGCCTGGCTTTGTTCAGGGCCTGTCACGCCCTGGGGCTGTGGTGGTCCAATCCAGCGGGGGCTCCCGCCTCCCAGCCCCCCTCCAGTCAGTCCGCCTGCACTGGATGAGGGACGGCGTAACCCGTCACTCCCCCGTGCAGACCCCACGCGTTTGGCCAGGCTCCCGGGGCTCTGTCCTCGCACCCCGGCCTGCCTTTTCCGCTTGGTACACAGAAGCCCTGGCTGTTCCTTGACCATGTACCATGGCAAGCACTGTGCTAGGCCTGGGCGTAGGACGGCGGGGGGTGGTGATTTAATTAAGAGGAGGAGCCCTGAGGAGGGACTGAGTTGGAGAAGCCCAGCGTGGCCCGGCACCTGCCCCGGAGCAGGAGGGAGGTGTGGGTCTTGGTGCGGCAGGGCGCGGGGCCGGCCGGAGAGGGTGTGCGTGCGGGGCCCCTGCGTGGGGCAGGCCTGTGCCGGGCGCGGCCGGGTGCCGGGGCCTTGCGTGGAGTTCGTGTGCACGTACACTACCAGCTGTGACCTTCCCAGCGGTGTTCTAGGGCAGAACTTGGCTACTCTCAGGAACTAAAACTTAAGAATTTATGGTAGGTCAATATTTTAAAATAGATTTTTGATAAGTATGATATATGGCAAGTAAATATTTTTAGTTTCCATTGGTGACTGGAAATCTCACAGGCCACTCTGTTACCCCAGCAGAGTCCTTGCTGGCGTGTCCTGCTCTGACGGCCGGACTGTTCGGCCCTGGCCGGTAGCTGACAGCTGCCTCCGTCTGTTCAGAAAGGACCAGAGGAGAAAGTCCCGGATATGCTCTTAAAGCGCTGACTGGTTGAATTGGTCTCTCCTGTTTCTGCCGCTCTTTTTGAAATCTCACAGCTCTGTTGAGAGAATTCGCACGCTGTACAGTCTGCCCATTCAGTGCTGGTGCTCTTTGCACAGACTTGGGCAAACCACCACCGCGCTCCACCTCCCCTCCTTCTCTTGATAGTGAGCTTCAGCAGCAACCCCGAGGCCTGTCTGCCGAGGCGCGTGTGGACGCGGAGGACAGGATGTGCGTTTCCGCCTGGGATCCCTGTGTAGCCCATGCCTGTGCCCAGCGTGCCAACCGCCAACAGCCCCCCCTGCCCCTGGCGAGCACTTAGTCACGCCCGCGCCGCCCTTCTGCTCCTGGGCCAGTGAGCACTGAGCTGGGCTCTCTGGCTCTTTCCGAGTTCAGTCCTTCGTTGGTGCCGTTGTTCTCAGAAGCGCACCAGGAAGCATGGGTAACCGTCCTCTGCTCTCGGGGTCCTGGCTTCTCTTGGAGCCCCTTTTCCAGAGGAGCCTGAGGATGAGGTTTGACTGCTGGCGTCTCGTGCGGGTCACCACGCCCCATGCCTAGGAGATTTCAGGATCGACCTCCTCTAAGGGCCTGGACAGGAGACTTGAGCTGAGCCGCCCAGCTGCCATGGGGGCACAGCCCCTGCCGGGCTCCGCTCTGGTCCTGTCCAGGCCCTTAGAGGAAGTGGATCCTGGGGTCCTGGACCCCGAGACCCTCTGGGGCTCCAGACGGTTGAGGAGGTTGCACAACCCCCTGTGGGGCATGTCCTGCGGTGAGCAGGTTTTAGGGGTTGTCACAGCTGGAGAGCCCTTGGTGACTCCTGGAGGAATTCAGGGCCTTTTAGGTGGTACCATGAACAGGCTTCTCCCAGGCCGCTCGCACCACCTCCAGAGCAGGGGTGCTGCCCGAAGCCCCCTCTTCTCACCGCAGCCCCGTCCTGCATGCACCTGCTCCTGAGGCTGCGGTTCTGCTCGGAAAGCAAGCCTCTGTTTTGTCTAATCTGAGAGCGCGACTAATGCAATGGCAGCCGTGCATTTTAAGGTCTCGCCTGTGTGTGCTGCCTGAACCCGGTCCTGGCCGTCACCTCCTCGTCCCCACCCAGACTCAGCGGGTCCAAAAGCCTCCCACAACCCCGGCGGTGGTAGCAGCCCACATGCCAGTGGCCCCGGAATGTTCCCGTCTCTCGTAGTCCTGTTCTCCCCTCCCAAATGCAGGGCCGGGGCCACACGCCCCCCCCCCCGCACACCACCGTGCAGGTGGGAGCCATGAGGGGCGGAGCTTGGGAGGTGAAGTGAGGGAGTGCCCTCCGCTTGCTTGCGGGCCAGGGGCCTCTTCTGCCAGCAGACGGCACACAAGTGGTCACCGAGACGGCGGCGGCCAGCTCTTGTCAGCAGCCAGGATGAGGTGGACGTGGGAGGGCAAGGAGTGTCAGGTCGCACAGGGTTGTGTCTGGGGCCACGGTGCCTTTCATGCTAATTATTTAAACAACGGTAAATGCATCGGCGCCTGCAGTGGAAAATGTTCTTGGATTTATGTTTTGAACAGAAAGTATAATGATGCTTACATTCCATTTATAGGAGTGGCAAGGAATTTACTATGCCAAAAACGGAGATAATGTACAACAAAATGTGAAGATAATACCTGTCACTGGACAGGGAGGGTAAGTGGAAAAAACAGGTGCTCCAACCAACGTACCATGTTTGACTTATTATAAAATGTACTTTGAATACTTAAGTAAGTTAAGAACTGCATACAGGGATTTGAAAGAAAGATTTGAAATAGGTCAGGTGTCATCCCAGAAGCACCTTCCAGGGCGGCCTCCTCGTGCCTGCGGCCTGACCCTCCAGACTCCGAGCCTCTTGCTGCAACCGCGCAGACACACAGGGGACTAACGCTCCGCAATCGGACCGCCCCTTCGTTACGCTGGACAGTAAGAACACTGACTGATGGATTCCCCGCATTTAAAAGATTTCTATCTAATCTGATAGCCTATGTGTTATTGCTGCATAGACCTATCAAATTAAGTAAAAATATTTTAAATAGTGTCATTTGTGGAAACTCTCATGTAAAGAAGATGTGACTACAGATTGGAAAGCCGTGTGTCAGGAGCCTAAAAAAATCTCCTATGGTTTTTCTCAGAATCTGTCTTAAGTACTATAAACAATGGAAAAGTATGACTATGTTATAGAACACCCAGCAGTACAACGTGCAACCATTAGAAACGATGGAAAAGTAAGTTACAAGGAAAAATGCTCATGACAGACGCAAAAGTCAAAATGTAAAACCGCACCTAGTGTGTGACCTCAGTCACGAAAACGGAGGAAGGGAAAGGCCCCGGGAGGCGGTGTGGCCATGGCGGCCTTCACTCCTGCGCCGCCCAGTGCCCGCCGGACGGCCCTTCTCTTCATCCTAAGCGCCGTCTCTGTTTCCCGGATCAGGAACCTGAGGCTTCGTGCTCGGCCTCTGGCCCCAGGCCCGCCTGCCAGGGCTCGGCGGAGCCAGGCGGCGCCTCTGCGCGGGCTGCGTGGCTCACACACTTGGTCACCAGGCTTCGCTGCCAGTTGGCGGTGGCTTTAGGGAGACGGTCTGTGTGGGTTCTCTGTTCTGATTCTTTGCCTTTTTATGTCCTTTCCAATTTTTTTTGTGATAAGTGTATAATCAGTTTGATTATCAGGGGAAAAACTGAAAGAAAAAAAAAATCAAAGGAACAGTAAGTGAGGAGAGTCAGCAGCTTCTGAGATAAGCCCCGGTTGCTTTGCCATCAGCTCCCCGCTGACCGAGGGCCCCGGGGGCGTGAAAATGAAAACTTGTGAAGGGACGACAGGCTTCTGGTTGGTTAACCTGCAATACAGTTTTAAACACATAGGTGTTTTTTATTGTATGTTATGATGACTTGGGAGAATTTTGTTGTTTTTCCTGAAGAGTCAACTTCTTTTCAACAGTCACTGCAGGGTGTTTGTAGATGCTTGTTTATTGGTGGTCTTGGCCACAAACCATAGAAGTGCTTTTCTTAGAGAACCTTGTGGAAGAGAGATGCTCTTTTGATAATGAAAAAACAGCTACATATGTCAGACTAGAGAGTCGGGAGAGAAATAATGCCTTGTTTTCTACTTGCAGAAAAATTAGACACTATGTGTCCATTATCAGAGTGTGCCATGGCAACAATAAGGTATGTAAGGGGTCCCTTGGGCCCCCAGCGCCCCCTGCCCCCAGCAAGATTCCTCTTCTCGCATTCCTAGGCGATCAGAACTAATGGCTTTTAAAATTTATTTTTAGGCTGAGAAAATAGCTGAATGTGTTCAGTCTGACACTCACACAGGTACGGTGCTCCATATTCATTCTTAGGGTTCATTGAACTTTTGGAAAAAATGAAGTAAAAACAGCCCCTCAATCCGACTGTGTCCTAGGACCTGGCAGCCCTGCTCCCCGGGCCGGTCTGCGAGGCGCAGGCCCTGAGCACGTAGGACATTTGGACAGGTGTCCCCTGGGGAGAGAACTGGTCACCTCGAGTGCATGACCTTACGTGAAGATGGTTTGTCAGCCTGATCGGGGCTGTGAGGGGCAGGAGTGCTGGGTGTCAGGCTGCGGAGCTTTCGCAGGGACGTCTGCCTCTCCCGACGGTGGTCACCGCCAGCCTACAGGAGGGAGCCGGGTGCCTTCGCACTTGCCCCGCCTGGTACCTGTCTCCTGGGCCTCAGACAGTCTGCTCCTCCTGCATCTGTGCGACTGCATATGGTCCAGGAAGGGGACTGTGTCCCATTCCTCAGGGACGTGCTTTCCGCCGCAGCACACAGCTCATTCATTCCTTCCTGGAAGGTTGCCCTTGTGCTTTCTGAGTGTTTACTGTGTGCGAGGCTCTGTGCTGACTGTGTTGAATTGAAACCTTGTAATACCCCGGTGGGTTCTGGAGGTGAAACTCCTTTTTGCAGATAAGGAGACTGAAAGGCTAACGGGTCTGCCCACGGATGTCCACCTGGGCAGCGGCGGGCTGGCGCTCAGTCCACACGGCCAGTCCCTGCGCACACGCTGGGGTGGTGCTTGTGGGGCCTCGGGAGCGTTCAGGGCTCTCGTGTGAAAAGCAGAGTCACGCTGATACTGAGGGGCATGTGGCAAGTGATGAGAAGAGATCGGTAGTGGGTGACAAAGGACCAGGGATGCCATGGTGCCTCAGGGGAAGAGGAGAGAGCCCCAGACAAGACAGGTGCCTTTGAATAACACGGGGGTGTGTGGAAGGAAAAGCATTTCAGAAATAAAAACAGGCTGAGAAGAGGAAAATGCAGAGTTCTAGAAAGAGCAAGGATGAAATCTTACCGGCACGGAGGATGCTAGGAGCAGGGGAGGGTTTCATCTGCAGGCAGCGGGAGCCTGAGGGTGTTGGAGCTGCGGGGCAGCGTGAGGTCTGAGCTCTTAAGAAGCTATAGAGCATGTGTGTGACACAGATCATGTGGAAGGAGGGGCCGGAGACAAGAATGCCAGTGTCGCCGTAGTCTGGAGGAGAGAGAACAGCCAGGGCGGAGTACCGTGGAGACGGTAGGAGGAGGGGGTGGCAGGAGCGAGGGGAAGGTGGTGAGGGGCCCGAGCGCAGAAAGCAGGCGCGAGCAGTTGCGTGGTGACCTGGCTGGGGAAGGTGGCCGTGGAAGGCCGCGCTTGCCAGGCCCCGGGCTCGCGTGTTCCCTCATCTGCTCGTCCATCTGCAAGTTTCCGCTGCGGGCCTGCTGGGCACCAGGGCCCTTGTTTCCATGCGCTGCAGAGAGACCAGGGCCGGGGTGTAAGTTTTGCTGTCGGCAAAGCATCAGCAAGTAGCACAGATGTGGAACTGATGAAGGGGTGTGGAGATGGAGGCGACCCAGGAGGAGGTGGTGGGAAAGGCGAGGAGAAGGCAGGTTCCTGGAGAGACCACGTGCATTGGGGTCCGAGGCAGCGGGAACCTATTGGGTGGCCCTGAGTCAGGGAGGGGAGAACGGGGACGCATCAGTCATGGTCGGGCCGAACTGCACAGAGGAAAGAGGGAGGGGAGTACAGGGTCGGACGCGGCTTTTGCATCCAAGAGCTCACGGGCGACGTGGAGCCAGCACGACCCTAACCCTTACACTACACGGTCAGGGAGCGCCTTCACTCAGATTTTTAAGAACTATTTAGACGAGCCCTGTGAGGTACGCGTGGCTATTACTGGCATTTCTTTATTACAGAGAAAGGCACTGAGGTAGAGAAGGGCTGAATGACAGCCCAGAGTCGGGCAGCCAGAAGTGACGGCTGGCACGGGAAGGCGGAGTCAGGGACACGGTCACAGAGGACGTCCGCTGGGGGGGTGGGGGGCTCTCAAACTGCAGCTGCGCCGGGTCCTCCTGTCGTTTCACTAGCTCACGCCCCACGCCCCCACCCCTCGGGGTCACCCCTCTCACCTAGAGGAGCCGTGCGCTGCGCAGTTGCCGTCCCCCTCGGCAACTAGCCGGCTTTACGTCCAAGAGACTCAACTGGTGGCCCTGCCTTGGGAGGCCTTGGTTATATCTCACAAAAATCAGGTCTGAAGAAGAAAAGGAGTTACTAGAAGGAAACGGGGTGGCTCACAGGTTGGACAAGGAAGCTGAAGAGCTGCTCTGAAAAGAGCCGGAGCCAAGGGAAGCCGGCTGACTGGCCCGGCGGCCCTCGGAGCAGCGTGGCGGGGGCCGGGCACGGGGTGCTGCCAGCACCGCGGGACAGGCGGCCTCCCCCATGGCCTCCCCGCCGGGGGCGGGCTCTGGGCGGGGAGTAAGGAGGCCTCTGGCCTCCCCTTCTGTAGTGGGAGTCACAGAACAAGGAGCTCAGATTCTGGGTGTCCAGAAAAGTAGCACATTTCCCAGCACATGTCCCCTTTTAAGTGTCCTACGTGTTGTTTTCACATCATACTTCCTCACCAAAGACACTTGGTGTGATAAGTGTCTGTGCTGTAAACCTGGAGTGGGTCTGGATCAGGCCTGCGTCTGGTGTGAGGCCACCGACGTGAACGTGGGGGACTCTGTGTGACGGGGGCAGAAGGAATCTCAACACACCATCCTTCATGGTGCCGCATGGGGAGGGGGCGGGGCTGGGGAGATGCTCCCCGGTGCCTGAGGGGTGCCCAAATGGAGGTGACCAGGTAAGATGTAAGTCCAGAGCTCAGGATAAAGCAGCAACCCAGGAATTACTTAAAGCAGAAGAAAGGATGGAACCTCCCAAGGAGATTGTATTTCCTGGGAAGAGAAGGGCTCAGGACAGACATCTGGGAACACAAGGGATGGGGACTGGTTAGGAAAGAGGGAACCATGAGGGAGGAGGAGTGAGAGATGGAAGGAAAACCAGGAGCATGGACTTAGGCAAACCAGGAGTTTGCAGGAAGAGTGATCCATTGTATCTGGTGCCACAGGTCAAGTCAGGCAAGAATTGTCCTTCAGGTGAAGCAGCACAGAGGTCAGCAGTGAGGGTGACAAGCTCGCGGTCAGTGCCCACGGAAAGGGGAGAGGAGCAAATAGCCAGTGCAAAGGTGTCTCGGAGGTGGGGATGCACCCGGCCCGCTGGTGAGCAGCTCTGGGGCGGGACCACCGCGGGGCGGAGCGCACGGGCCTGCAGGTGGACGGCCGGAGCCAGTTTCCTCGTCTGTGAAATGGGGACAGGTTGGAGAGGCTCAGCACCACGCATGGCACCCAGCAGGTGCACAGAGGAGGGGACAGGAGGACCAGCGCTGCCTTGTCATTGATTGGCATGGGGTCAGGGAGACCGCTGAGGCAGCCCGTTTGGAGCCAGAAGAGCAGTGGTCCCGTTCACAGGCAGTGGGGCTGGGCGAGGGGACAGGGAGAGAAATGGGCCTTTGACCCGCACCCCCAACCAGGGGCTGGAGCTACCTCGGGAGGGAGCATGTTCTTCCCCGGGGCTTCTTAGATCTTGTATTATAGAAAAAAATACATAAACGATTTTTTTTTCCTCTGGGGGAAGTATGGGTGGCGATCAGAATCTTCCTACCATTTTACTCAGTCTTACAGAGCTGTAATAGGAGGAGTTCTACTAGTTCTCACGTCACATCTTGAGGCTCTAATTACATAATTGTACCATGTGGGTCAGTCTGAGAAACTCAGGCCCTAAAAACCTCATTTTCATAGTCATATCTGGGAAGCACTGTGTGGGTTTTTGTGGCAATTTAAATCCTAAGTTTTGTCTTAAATTTTTACATCGGTAATTAATGTGTTAACATCCCTCTGAGCAGGTGATTTATAATTTGTTTCCACAGATACTCAGTCGGGCAAACATAAGGACAAGAGAAAAAGCTCACTGGACGTCAGAAGCCTGGCCTCTCGAACAAATGAAGGTAGGTGCTCGAGACGAGAGGAGGTGTTGGCCACACAGTGCGGAGCACATGCGGCCCGACACCCCCCCCCCCATCCCCGCGTCACTGGCTGCCTCTGGCTCAGATGGGGAGGGCGCCTTCTAGCCACCTGTGTCATCTCCCCTCCTCCCACTCCTGCCAGTGGGCTCCATCCTGAGCCTTCTGATGGACTCAGGGAATAAAGAGGAGGGAAAGGTACGTTTTACGATCTCTTCTGTAGTTCATCTGTTGTAATGGTATGAGTAATGCATTTGAAAATTAACAATATACAGCAGGTCCTCGAATAACCTCATTTTGTTCAATGTTGATAGAAAAAGAGCAGTTGCTGGCCAGGTCACTGTGTGTGCAGAGGGTACCAGATCTCCCCGCGTCTGCGTGGGTTTCCTCCTGGTCCTCTGGTTTCCTCCCACCTCCCAGAGATGAATGGGCACGTCTAGGTGCCCCCTCTGGTGGGGGTGGGGCTTGTGCAGAAGGGGCCCCGCCTGCACCGTAGCTGCCAGGGAGGCTCTGGCCATTCTTGACCCTAAACTGGAATAAGCGGGTTAAAAAATATTGATCTCGTGTGTAGCTCACACTTCAGTGTTTAATACTGGAAGTGTGTTTTGTTTTTATTTGTAAGTTTGGTGATGTTTTGTCATCAGAAATATGCTTCCATACAGAGTTACAGTTGGCTTTTGTGTACTGACTTTGTGCCAAATAATCCTGATACACTGATTGTCAGATGTCTGTAGATTCTCTGGGATTTTGTGCACACACAGAACAATCTTTATACGTTTTTTCTAACTTTATTGCATTTATACCATTTGTTTTTTGCAAGCATGTTCACTATCATATTTTTAAACAACAAGTCTTCCTATGACATGGTGATAAAACATGGTTTTTATTTTTGGTTTCATAACCGCACTGGGTAAAGTGGAAAGTTGGCAACCATATGCTAGTCACCAAAATTAGATTGCAAGCGTTTTGTTGGTCGCCAGCATTTGAAGCCTTTGAGAGCCCCTGAGCTGGTTTGTCTCGCAGTTTTTCCCACTGGGCTGGCAATGTGAGCGGCCACGCCAGTCTGTGAACACTGTGTGTTCCTGTAAGGCCTTTGGTAAAGAGCACTCGGCCCGACAGTGGCGCTTTCAGGGAGACACACAGAACTCTGTGTGACTGTGTTTTCCTGCCTGCGTACTGCTGGGCTCCGCTCCCCCGCCACCACCCAAAGGAACCACATCTTGCAGGAGCAACAAAAAGTTAAATTCCAGAGCCTTGGAGTTGCTGCTCACCTTGGTTAAGGTGTTTACCTGATTAGATTAAGCATAACAGTGGAAAACCCCGCAGGGTACTTTGAAAACTCATGAGAAATTTATGTGCTTCAGTTCATGGTGAATTGTAGTTATAGCTCCTGCCACGCAGAGAGCCTGGGTCGCATTGTCTTCCAGAACATTCTCACTCCTGGATAGCAGCAAGCTGTATAGTTATAAAGCTGTATTATTATAAGGACAAAAAGAGGCTTGTCTTTGGCCTTGGCGTGCTAGATTGTTTCCTGTTTTCTCTCTGACGTCAGAAGTTTGGACTGGGGGGGCACGTGCATCCTAGTGCCTAGAACCGAAGGAAGCAGAGGGGGCTTGTTGGGACGGGAAGGGAGCTCAGTGAGCTGGGCGGTTCTGGCCCTGCGCCCTCGTTCTGCAGATGGGCACACTGAGGCCAGGGAGAGGGGGACGTGGAGCCCTGGCCCGGGGCAGGTGTGTGAGGCTGTGCCTACCCTGATCTCTGCTCCTGTGCTCTCTCCACAGTGGCCAGCCAGCGACGACACTCCTCCCTGGCGCGGATACATTCCATGACCATTGAGGCGCCCATCACCAAGGTGAGGCGGTTCGTGGTCGGTGTCTGCTGAGCAGGGATGTCCCTTGCTTCCCCCAGTTGATTGTTGCCAGTGAGAACGAACAGGGACCCGCAACAGTAACAGTGCTCCCCAAGGGCAGGGAGCGGCTTCCTCTGGAGGGAGAGGACTGAGGCGTGAAGAGCGAGCCAGGCCTCAGGCAGCCTTGAGCTCGGCTGCCAGCCTGGCTCTAGGTGGCTTTCCCGTTGTTTTTATGGTGAGGAAGCTCAAGCCTTTCTTTCCACATTGTAGGTTATCAATATTATCAACGCTGCCCAGGAAAACAGTCCCATGCCTGTGACAGAAGCCTTAGACCGCGTGCTTGAAATTCTGAGAACCACTGAATTATATTCACCGCAATTCGGTGCTAAGGATGACGATCCTCACGCCAACGACCTGGTTGGGGGCCTCATGTCTGTAAGTGCGCTGGCCGGTCTGCTGGCTGGAGCCTGCTCTTGCTGTTTGTCCCGCTGTTACCTGTTCCTGGGCTGGGCTACGTGGAGCCCTCTGCCTGCCTGTCTGCATGGTAGGCTCTGCCCGGAGCCCGCACCACTGGCTGCCCCCACCCCAGACCTCGGCTTGGAGCAGAGCAGGGAGGGGCATGTTCTAGACTGTCTGCGGCGCTAGGGCTCCACTTTCGCTTTGGGGTTCTGCAGGAGGTTTATTTAAATAATGTTTAATTGTTTTTAAAGATTTTGAAAACTGGGGCAGAAAAAAAATGAAATGTTCTATACTACATTACAAAACAGAGAAAATATATACACTTAAAGAGGACCCCAGAGATGGGGCATGATTTCCCTCCAAACATTCTACAGATTTGGTGATTTGATGGGGCAAGAATGACTTGGGACCATCTGATCAGAAGGGGGCTTTGTACCCCGGGCTCTGGAGAGGCCCTCGGCGCCGCCTCTAGCCCATCTAGGGCAGGGGTCTTACAAGGGAAATACGACCTGGTGGAAAACTGATCGGTCCATTGCTGCCATCTTTGTGTTGGTCAGAAATAAAATTCACCTTCCCTCGCAGTTCTTGCTTTATGAAGTCTTGATGTCTTAAATGTAATTTTTAAGACACCCAGTGACTTCAGAAAAGGTGGCATGGTCCGCAGGGATGATCCTGTGTAACACAGGTCTGGCCTATTGTGGCAGAGGCTTCTCCGGCCTGTGGGCGAGGGGAGCAGAGGGGCACTGTGGCGGGGGGAGTCACCACGGGATGGAGAAGGGGCTGCTGCAGGGCCCAGATGGTGGTCTGGAAGCAGCTCTCACCCCCGAGATGGCTGGGCAGAGAGAGGACGCTCGGAGCAAGGGAGACTCCAGCTCTTGTAGGAAGCCTGGTGTCCACTGGGACCAAGGGCAGAGGGGCATTGTCCCTGGGAAACAGAGCCACCCGGCGTGCCCGTGGGAAAGCCAGGCCTGCCCCCGGCCTCTGCCCGGCCCGGCGCTATCCTGGGTCTAGCCAGGCCTCCCCGGCAAGGCTGTGCACCTCCAGAAGGGGCACGGGCTCCCTGGGGCGCACTGATGAGGCATGCTGCCCTTTCCTGTCCTCCGGGACCAACTGTCCTGGGGTCCTCAAGAAGTAAAGGGCAGCTGTGACCTGATTGTGACTTCCCTTTTTCTTGTTTTCTTGATTTTTATCAGGATGGTTTGCGAAGGCTCTCTGGGAATGAATATGTTCTTTCAGCAAAAGGTAAGTTTTTCCTTTTTCCTTTTTTGGATTGCTATTTACATTACAGTCAAGCTTAAGTGATGAAAATAATAAACTTTTCAGATAGTTTTTCTCAGCTGTTAGCAGTTTTCTCGGCATATCCTAAAACCTCAGAAACACAGCACTGCCCCTCCTCAGGAAGAGCGAATGCCAGAAAGCTTGTTAATGCCATTCTCCAAATTAACCACTCCCCAGGCCTGCACCAAGCCTCGGGCCATATGATCACTCCCATCTCCCTTCACGACGTCCCGCCGCGCGTCGCTCAGGCCATGGAAAATGAGGACCACTGGGACTTCGATATTTTTGAACTCGAGGCTGCCACTCAGAATAGGTGAGTTCTCGTGGGGCCTCCCTCAGCAAGCAGAGCGCTCGATGCCGCGGGCCTGTGTGTGGGAAGCCGCCCCCGGACTGGAGTGGGTTTTGCATCAAGCTCGTCCCTGGTCCTCAGGAGGAGGCTCAGGAAAGGGGAGCAGGGCAGCAGGTGCCCCTGAGTCTGAGTGGGGGCATCCGTGAGAAGCTGGGGCAAGCCTGCCTGGCCCTGACTCCTGAGGACACAGCAGACTCGCGGGACAGGAACTGTGAAACTGAGCAAGTGGCTAGGCCTCCAGATAGCGGGGTTTTTTTTTTCTGTAAAATACAGTTACTGATTTCTCCTGAAGGTAGTGATATGTTGAAATAGTAGCAAGGAGCCCCCACACAGAGCCTAGAACTAAAAATTACACACACACCCCCCCCCTTGAGAAGAGCTGTCCCCAGATCTTGGTTGCTGTGCCAGGTATGGGGACCAAGACTCTAGTCACCCTGGACTGGGTGTGACCATAGCCTGCGGGAGATTGGGGTTGTATCTTTAATTGTGCGCCTTGGTGGGAAAGAACTTTCAGCCACAGGGGTGTGGTTGACTTGGCACCAGCTGCGTGATGTGACAGAGCCGAGGCTGGCCTGGGCGCCCTTCAGGTGGGAGTCTCTTGAGCTGGTGAAGAGCAGTCCCAGGACAGGTGTGCTCTCTCGGGGGGTCACCATGGGGTAACTCCTCCGGTCTCATCCCAACCTGGGGGAACCGTCCCCACAGTGGCCCTGTCCTCGCTCTCATTCACCCTGAGTCAGCTTTCTGATGTGCTCTACCCCCATGTCCCCGATGTGGGCAGAGACGGTGGGAAAGAGCTTGCCACACAGGTGACAGGGCCGTCACGTGGACCAGGCCGAGGCAGGTGAGTTCCGGCCCTATGAGCCGGATCGCCCCTGGGCACTGCCTCAGCGGAGCCAGATTCCTTGGCCTTCCAAGCCAAAAGCCGGGTCACGGACGGGGTAGCCAGCTGGTCACCTTCTAAAGGGGCACTTCCTCAGAGTCAACAGCCACCTCCGGAGAGTTGAGACCATTACATGGCATGTGACAGTGTCAGGCTCATGTGTGGTCATTAGAAATCATCATTGTCTTCAGGCAGGACATCGGCCAGTGGCACAGGTCCAGGAGGTCCAGAGAAGACAGGGTCCAAGGTGGTGCAAGTTTAACTTGGCTACAAACACGTTGACTTTGAGGAACCCAGTAGCGCAAGTAGGAGCTTGAGCCCGAGCCCGAGCCCGAGCCCGAGCCCAGCCAGTGGGAGCACCAGATAAGAACTCTGAGGCCCGAATTAGAACTGGGCTCCCGTCAAACTTGGTGCTGCCTCCCAAGAGAAAGGGCCACAGAGGCAAGCGCCCCTTTGCTGCCCTCGCCCTCTCTGAAGTTGGACTCGGGTTTGCTCACCGGATCTAACCTGTCCAAGGCTTCAAACACTTTGCCTTAATGCTACACTTGTTTTTCCTCGTAGGCCTTTAATTTATCTTGGTCTCAAAATCTTCGCTCATTTTGGGATCTGTGGATTCTTAAACTGCTCCGAGACAACACTGAGGTCGTGGTTACAGACGATTGAAGCCAATTACCATTCTTCCAACCCCTACCACAACTCTACACATTCCGCCGACGTGCTGCACGCCACTGCCTATTTCCTCCGCAGAGAGAGGATAAAGGTGAGCTGTCTGCACCATTGCTGCCCCCACCCAGTTGCCACGCGGTGTGACCGCTCAGAAGTGATCCCACGCACGTGCAGCCTGGCCCAGGAGGGCTGTGGCTCTGGGGGTCCCTGCGCTCATTCAGGATGTGAGCCCAGCAGTTTCCACGGGTGTGAGAGCAGTAGGAGTTGGGACCCAGGGAGAAAGCGGCTGGACAGCAGATGGCTGTTCCCTGGGGGCTCACCCTGAACCCACAGACATGTCCAGCCAGCTAAGTGTTGGCTGGCGCCACTTTAGAGCCCCCACCTAGCCCCCCAGAGTCTGGGAAGGGGCGAGGTCATGTCTAGCACATGGATGTGTTGACCACATGTTAGTTCCTCACCCTGAAGGCAGCCCTGTCAGAGCTGGGTCTTGCTGCCCCCTCTCCTGTCTTTGTTTTGTTGTAAAAGAAAGGCCATTCGCTAGACCTAGGCAGGGTCAGCGTCCAGAGACTGGACTAGTTCATAAAGTACAAAAACCAGCGGCAGGAAAGGGATGTCTGTGTCAGTCATACAAGGATCAGCATACAAAGAGGACCCACATTTTTTGCTATAATTTATTGCTTCTGAACTACCCTGCAGATAACAAATACATATTCAGAAAGCAAACTTCAATTTAACAGCATTCGCTGAGATATAATTCACATCATACAGTTCAGCCACTTACTCCTCTCTGTTGAGGACACCCTTTATTTGGTAGGTCCTTAAATTGGGGACTGAGAATCCAGTAACATTTCCTAAAACACATGCAAAAATGTAAGTTTCACAGTAGAGAGGTAGGGAAACTGGACTTGCTCCACAATATGCTTTTCTGAGAAACCTGAAATATTCTTACGTTAAAGTAATAGGACAGAAAGAAAACTACACAGAAGGAGTCCTTGCTTTCAGCCCAGTGCCCCAGTTTTTAAAAGGTCTCTTGTTCTCAGCAAACTTTAGATCCACTCGACGAGGCCGCGGCCCTCATTGCAGCCACCGTTCATGACGTGGACCACCCTGGGAGAACCAACTCCTTCCTGTGTAACGCTGGAAGCAAGCTGGCCATCCTGTACAATGACCTCGCTGTGCTGGAGAGCCACCATGCGGCCCTGGCCTTCCAGCTGACCACTGGAGACGACAAATGCAACATCTTCAAAAACATGGAGAGGTGAGAAGAGGGACCTACTGAAGTATGTTGGGCCCTCTCTCTGTTAACAGCTCTATTGTGACACATTCATATACTGCACTGTTCATCCATTTGAAGTGTACAGTGGTCATTATGCAGAGTACTGCCACCTGTCTGCCATCAAACTTAGGACATTTTCATCCCCCCATATCAAACTCATGAGCAGTCACTCCTCCCTCACCCCACTCCCCAGCCCTGGGCCACTAAGCTACTTCCCATCTCCATAGATATGCCTGTTCTGGACATGTCACATCAGTGGCAACGTATCCACTATGCCATCTCTTGTGACTGGCGTCGTTCACTTAGCACAGTGGTTTCAAGGTTCAGCTCCTCTGTGTCTTGATGTTTCAAGACAAGGAAGTATAATGCTGACATCTTGAGCTTTCACAGACTCAGAACCTATCATCTGCCTGGACAGCCCACTGTGCTCCCCTGCGCCCAAAAAACTTATTTTCTCTGTTCACACATCACTCCCCTGTCATTCCCCTGACCCCCAACACTAATTATTCAGCCGCAAGTTCCTTTGTAGCACTTGTCACATTTTTAAAATTCCTTACTTAATGTCTGATTCGATTCTTAAGCTGAGATCATGGTGTCACATGTCTTTTGTTCATCACTGTGCCCTCAGCGTCTAGCGACAGGAACTGAGTATCAGAAGAAGGAAAATGTATTCTGCCAAGAGGAATACAGGGGTGGGCAAAAATAGATTTACAGTTGTGAGTACACGATATAGGTTGTTCTTGTATTATTATTTCTTAGGTTGTTCTTGTATTATTATTTCTTAATTATTGTGTTATTTTCCATATGAACAACGGTATTTAGATAGCTACTTATTCATTTGGTTTTTTAAAGGAAAGTTTTAATATGGGATTTGGGGTTTTATAAAAAGGAGATTCCTGATTTTAAAACTCTCCTTTGCCACGTTCTAGAATTTCAGAGGTGGAAGTAAAGCAGGTTTGACTCACAGTTCCTTGTGTATGGATAGGTGCAGATCAGTTATCTCTGGAAAGCACACAAGACCCTGATAAAGGGCTGTTTCCAGGGAATGGAATGGGGTGACTGGAGAAAAGTGGCAGAATACAGATTTCACTTCTTATCCTCCGCACCTTCTGAATTTTTAACTATATGGTTTGCATCCTCAAAAAATAAAAATTTGGGAATGAAGCCACTGCTGGAGGAAGCGGTATCAAGCACCCCCTGAGACTTGCTCTACTGGCAGGAGGTCTGCCCTCCGCGTTTCTGGACACCAATGCTGTCGGGGCCTCACGCGGGGCGCATCTGCGTAAGCGCAGGCCTCCGTCTCCCCGAGACAGCAGGCTCTGCTCGCCCCGCTCCACTTCTGTTCTATTCTGAGCACCGCGTGCCTTGCACTACGGGATGACAATGATGTGGATGCTGCATCTATGACGTCCTGCCCTTAAGCTTCTGATTTTCACTTCTGTTGAGGTTGAGGCACTAACCTATCACTTCCACGTTTGTGCAAAGGGCGCCTTCCAGTGCTGTTAGAACTTGGGCCACAGTGGACAGGCATCCCAGGTAACAGCTAGTTTCCAGGAGTCCCTACCTGTCCGGTCTGGATCTGTGATCTGCAGCAACCTCTCATTTATCGTCTGAAATAGGAATGACTATCGGACACTGCGCCAGGCTATTATTGACATGGTCTTGGCCACGGAGATGACGAGGCACTTTGAACACGTCAACAAGTTTGTCAACAGTGTCAACAAGCCCTTGGCAGCACTAGAAGAAAATGAGGTAAGGGAGACCACCAGGCAGGCCTACGTTTGGGACCTGTATCCCTGTGTGTCGCTGACTCACTGAATTTAAATTCCACTGGTTAAATTATTTAAAGGACAAAAACTTGGCAGGAAAGAAAGGAGGACATCCAAAAACAGATGTAAAAACTCCAAAGGGAGGGTCAAATTTTAGATAAACGCACTTGAAGGATGGGCCACTCCCCAGTTCGTGGACATTTTGGGGTAGGCGGGAGCCCTTGGGGTCTCTCTAGCCACGCCCCGCTGTGCACGCTCTGCGGTGGCAGCACCTATCACTGGGCCGCAGTGTTCCCGTGTGAAGTGAGGGGCCAAGCTCCATGCCCAGAGTCTGTCTGGTGAACCCCTTAACCGGTAGATCCCAGACAGTGCCTCGCTGTGCTTCCAGGTGGACCACCCCGGTAGGACAGGGCATGGCACCAGGGGACCCATTTTGATTGCCTTAAATTCCACTCAATGTTTTAGGAAACTGATAAAGATCAAGAAGCCATCGACACTATGCTCCGCACCCCAGAGAACCGGACTCTGATCAAACGGATGCTGATTAAGTGCGCTGATGTGTCCAACCCCTGCCGGCCCTTGGAGCAGTGCATTGAGTGGGCTGCACGCATCTCAGAAGAATATTTTTCTCAGGTGAGACACAGCCTCTTACGTTTCTTAATTTTTTTTTTTCCTCTGATGGGAGCAGTATCTGTGGGGCTTAGCATAGATTCACTGTCACCACTCGCAGTCCCTCAATTCTAAGCGCACGGTGACATCCCACTCACTCAGCCACTGACCTGTCTCAGCACAGAGGAGCCTGTCCCCTGGCGCTGCACATTCAGAAACAGCCCTCCCAGATCTGGCTCGGTGGCCTTCGGGGTACATTCTGTACGTCCTTTGTTGCGGACCTAAGACCCAGGACGAGAACACAGACCCACAGGAGCCACTGCCGCTGTACTTGGCAAACATTCTCAGGATGTGCGGATGTTAGAGCACAGATAAGTTTTGTTTCTTCCATTAGTTTCAGTGCAGGGAGAGCCCCTTGTGCGAGACAAGGTCAGTGGGACAAAAAACAAATTTCCAAAGTCTAAATATTGAAGCCTCAGTCCCACACCCTCTCCACGTGAAACCATCTTTTCTTACAAGCGCCACAAAACTTCTCAGCTTGACCGCTGCTCCAGCATGCAGTCGCTGAGGCCACAGCGCCACCACAGTCCCCGTCTGTTTTCCTCTCTCCACCTTCATTTACTCTCCCTGCTGACCTTCAGAACACTGCTCCCTCCCTCCTGACAGTCACCGCCCTGGTGATCTCTTGCCTCACGCAGCTGGTTCCTCCTCTGTCTGTCCCGTCAGCCCCGCCCACGTCCCTGTTCTGGAGCAGCACTGACAGCCTCCCCGTTCTCTGCTGACCCAGCAGGAGGCAGCAGGGGGAGGGCGGGTGGGATGGGGTTTACAGCCTGCAGGCGTGTGCAGTGTTGTCCCAGACCTTCGCACGCATTCACTGCTCGCCCACAGCAACTTCCAGGCCTGCGAGCTCCACTCACGGCATGTGCGCTGCTTAGGTGAACCCTATTTTCCCTGAATCTTTTCCATGTTTAGATGCACAAGTAGTTACCATTGTTTACAATTCAGTCAGTACACACTGCCCAGGCTTGCAGCGCAGGAGCAGCGGGCCGCATCACCCGGTGGTGTAAGTGCGCTCTGTGACGGTCACCCAGCGACGCATGACTACATGTAAACAAGTTAAAAAGGCTCTGGGATGAAGGGGGTTTTTTTTGTTTTTTTTTTTAAACCTCAAGGATCTCAAGGGTGTTCAGAAAGTTTCCAAGTAAGGTACTGTGGCCTGAGATGAGAAGCAGCCCCTAGCCCCTCTTCTGATGAGAAGGGGGCTGCTGCTCACCATCGCGGTGCTGGTGTCAGGCCCTGGAAACACCTGCTGGATGCGGGGTGGCTGAGCTGTGACAGGGACAGCGCCGCAGTGGCAGTGCTCGGCTGCACTTCAGCTGCCATTCCAAAGCTTAACTGAGGAGCTTCAGCAGGAGGCTTCCGGGTGCTGACAACACAGGGCGGGTGTCTTCAGGCCCTCCCGGCACAGAGCAGTCCCCACTCTGGAAACAACTTTGTATCTGGTGGCAGGTCTGGTTGTGTTGGTTGGTGCTCTAGTGGAGTAGAGCCGACACTGGAGTCTCATAATTCTGGCATTTTCGGCCTTGCAGACCGATGAAGAAAAGCAACAGGATTTACCCGTGGTGATGCCGGTTTTTGACAGAAACACCTGCAGCATCCCCAAGTCCCAGATCTCCTTCATTGACTACTTCATCACAGGCATGTTCGATGCTTGGGACGGTAAGAACTCTGAGAAGACATTTCCGACATAACTGAACGGCACAGGGACTAGCAAATGCTGTATTTGACTCTAGGTGAGGCTTGGAGACTTAGGCTTTCCAGGACTGAGGAGAACAAGCAGCCATCGCCGAGGGCCCCTGGGGCTTGGGCTCTTTGTGCACATCCTCATACCCGCCCCCAGGGTGGAGGTCCTTATGCCAGTTTCTTAGGTGAGAATTGACCTCGGGGCCACACAGCTCCTAGTGGAGAACTGAGGATTCAAAACCTCTACCACGGATGCCACACCGCCACGCTGTTCCTCCAGAAGCTCTGCCATTTGCTGCCAGGCCTCACTCTGGAACAGCCTGAGAGTGGGCGGGTCCCTGGCGGATGCACTGCGCCCTTCTCTAACCTTCAGCGCCAGCCAAGGAGCCCATCAGGTGCAGGTGTCGCAGAACGGAGGTCCCCTTAGTGCTCCCCGAGAACCTGCTCCACCTGCCATGGGGCTGCACTTGGGGGAAGGGCTACAGGGCAGGCAGCCGTGCTGGCGCGGTCTACAGCGGGGGGCCCGGGGGAGCGGCACACCCGGGAGAGAAGGGCACTGCCTGCTCCCTCCCGGTAATGCCATAAGGTGGGGGGCTCGCTATAGTTTCCGACACCTCAGCGCCAAAGGTGCCGTTTGTGGGAACTAAGCAGAGCTCAGCTTTATTTATCAGAGTTGGCAGCGGAACAGGTCCGAGGAGCTGCTGTGTGCCCCCCGCCCCCGCGCTGTGCCTGTTTAGTGCTCCTTAGCGCTCCGCAAATGCCTCCGCCCATCCCCTTTTTCTTCCCAATGCTCGCACCTTAGCCTATACCTCTAAACTGAGGCTGTGAAAAGATCTCACATTCCCCTCTTTCTCCAGCCTTTGTAGACCTACCAGAGTTACTGCAGCATCTGGACAACAATTTTAAATACTGGAAAGGACTCGATGAAATGAAGGTGCGGAGCACCCGACCACCTCCAGAACCAGAAGGGTAGGTGACCCTGTTCCTTGGTTTTACCAGTGTCACACAAAATAGGAAAAGCAGACAGGATACAGAAAGTGTACAGCCAGTGAGAGCCACATTTTGTAGCCAGCACTGATCTCATCAGGCTCGGTGTGGTTTCTGAGTTTGCTGGGCAGAAGGTTCTGCCTTCAGCACTGTCACTTCCACAACCTTCGTTCCCTTCATCAGCAAAGTGAGGATAAAGTGAAAGTGGTCATTCAAAGCGTTGAGGGTCGTGGTGAAGGTCAAGGGACAGGTAATAAAGTTATAGGCTGTGAAAGTGGAGTAGGTCAAGATGGTGCGGACTGAGGTGAAGGTGAATGTTTAGGTGGTAAAAGTGGTGCAGGAAGGTAATGGTGAAGGTGGTGAGTCTCAATGGGCAGGTGGTATAGGTCAAAGGGAGGGCGATGGATGTGAATGTTTAGGTGGCAAAGGAGGTGGTCAAAGTGAAAGTGGACAAGTTCAAAGTGCAGGTAGTGAAAGGTAAAGATTGTAATGGTGAAAGAGGTGGATGAAGGCGGTGCAGGTCATGGCGAAGGAGGTAACTAGGTAAAGATGAAGGCAGTGAGAGCTGCAATGGAGGAGCAGCTGTGCGAACACGGTGAAAGCGAGGGCAGTGATGGTGGAGACGGTGGTTCAAAGTGAGGATGGAAGTAGCGCCAAGCTGAAGGCTGCAGTGGTGAGAACAGTAAGGTGAAGCTGGTAAAGGTGCTGAAAGTTGTGTTGAAGGTCAAGAGGCAGGTAGTAAGGGTGTAAGAGTTCCAAGTGAGGGTTAAGGGGAAAGTACAGGTGGTCAAAGTGAAGGTCAAGGTGATAAAGGTAAAAGTGAAGGTCATGGAGATCATAGTGAAGAAAAGTGGTGAACGTGGAGAAGTTCTTAGGGTAAAGGTGATGAAAGTGAAGGCTGCGACAGTGAAGGTGACAGTGGTAGTAATGGTCAAGGCGAAGATAAGGGTGGTGACGCTGAAGGTTATGAAGTCAAGATGAAGATGGCGAAGGTATGAGTGGTGAAAATGGGATGGGCGAGGCGAAGGTGAGGGGGTGAAGGTGGCCAAAGTAGTGAACGTCAGGTGATGGTAACAATGATGGTGAAGGTAGTGAACACAGTGGTCAAGGTGAAGGTGTTGAAAGTAAAGGTGGTGAGTTCAAGTGAGGGTAAAGGTTTGGATTAAGAAGTAGGGAGTGAAACGGTGAAGTTTAAGAAGAAGGTGAAGGTTAGGATGAGAAAAGTGAATGTGGTGGACGTGAGGGTGGCCACTTTGAAGGAGGTGAAGACAGTGAAGATGAATGTGGTGATAGTGGAGAAGGTGGTGACGGTAAAAGTGAAGGTGATGAAGGTCAAGAGGAAAAGCGGTAAAAGCGGTGGTCAAGGCTGAGGCATTGACAATATAGGTTGTGAAGTTCAATGTGAAAGTAAAGGAGCAGGAGGCAGTGAATGTGACAGTGAAGGTTGAGGTGGAGAAGTTCAGAGGGTGAAAATGGTAAAAGTAAGGGGAGGTGTCAGATGGTGGAAGCGGAGGTGAAGAAGATGATGGTTAAATGATGAAGTGAAGGTCGTGAACGTGAACTGGTGGGGGGAGGGGGAGGGGGAGGCTGCAGTGGCGGTGGTCGAGGTGACTGGTTCAGGTCGAGGGGACTGTGAATGGGATGTGGGTGGTGCAAGTGTTGTAAGCAAAGGTGAGGATGTGAAGGTTTGGATTAGGTGAAGATGAAGGCAGCAAATCACTGTGTGAAACGGTGAAGTTTAAGAAGATAAAGGTGGCAAAGGGTCCGTGTAAAGGAGTGTAAAGGTTACAACAGTGAATGTGGTGCAGGTCAAAGTGAAGGAGGTAAAAGTAGTGAAGGTGGTGATGGTGAGGTGGGGAAATAGTAAAGGTGCACGTTGAAGGCACTGAAGGTCAAGGTAGAAGGTAGTGAAGTCAAAGTGAGTGTAGGTGGTGCAAGTGGAGTTGGTGAAGGTGCTAGTGTACGTGGTGGAAATGGTGAAGATAGAGGTCAGGGTGAAGGTCGAGGTCAAGGTGCCGAATGTCACATTGAAGGCGATGAAGGTCCAGGTAAAGTTGATGGTGAAGTGTAGGTCGGGAAAATGGTAAGGTCAAGGTAGTAGAGGTCCACGTAAAGATGGTGAAAGTCAAAGTGAAGGTGGTCAGGGTTGTGGTGAAGGTAATGAAGGTAGTGAATATGAATGTTAAGGTGGTAATGATGAAGGTAGTGAAGGTGTAGGAAGGAGTTGGGTTAAGGTGAAGCTAAATAGATAAAGGTGATGATCTTGAAAGTCAAGGTGAAGGCTGTGGTTAACTGAAGGTCGAGAAGGTGCTGAAGATCAGTGTGCGAGGGAGGTGAAAACCTCTCAAACTTACGCTTCTACGGATCTTCAGACTTACCTTGAAATCTGCTCTGTATTCGGGCACTTTCTCACGACTGTGATTCAGCACTAAGAACACCCTATGGCAGTCTTACCTTTGCTGACTTCCCACATCATAGAAGGTACACTCACGTACTTTGGAACACTGCTGAGTGTTCCAAGTTTCGAGGTTGATTACTAATATCAATTATTAAAATATTTTATTACAACTTTAATATTTTCTGAGTTTAAAAATACTTCAAAGCCTTTTTTTTTTTTAGATTTTATTTATTTTTCAGAGAGAGCGGGAAGGCAGGGGGGAAGAGGAGGAGAGAAACATGGACTAGTTGCCTCTCACATGCCCCCAACTGGGGACCTGGCCTGCAACCCAGGCATGTGCCCGATGGGGAACTGAACCGGTGACCTTTCAGTTCGCAGGCTGGCGCTCAACCCATTGAACCACACCAGCCACAGCTGCAAAGCTGACGTTAAATGCCATGACCAAATAAATATACAAGGTTCATATTATGTAATACTTGATGTACACTTATTTTCATAATGCAAATTAAGAATATAAAATGACCTTTCTACTGCACTATAGAAGCAACTGTTTAATTTTTTAAATGATTTTATTTTTAGAGAGCGAGGGAGGGAAGGAGAGAGAGACATCGATTTGGTTGCCTCTTGTAAGCATCCTGTTTGGGGACCAAACTGGGAACTGAACTGGCAACCTTATGCTCTGTGGGCTGATTCCCAACCAACAGAGCCATACCAGTCAGGGCTAGAAATATTTGTATGTTACACTTCTTTTCTGACTTATGCTAATCAGGAAACCCTGTCTTCCACAGGAGAAGGGCTCCTTCTCTGCAGAAACCGGACCTCTGAAACTGCTCTAACTCACTTGATGGACTTTGCCAGTGACTCTGCAAATTACAAGAAATTAGAACTGAACACTTTTTTCATAAAATTTTATTAATGACTTTTCCAAAAGTTTGCCTTATTTTGTAGAGTGTTTATACCAAATATTCTCATAGAAACAAACAGCAAACATGAAATATTTACTAAACTGACTTTTTAAAACCAATCTGTTTTCATCTTCAATGGTAATCTTTAATTCCAGAGATTTATAAAGGTTCTGTATCTTCACATTTTCAATAAATGTAGTATCATTAAAAAAATGAAACATGATGACATATCAAAATACTTATTTCATTTTAAACTTGCTTTTTGTCCAAGATAAAAATGAAATTAAACTATTTGTTTTTAAGAATTCATGTGTCACCTTTTCTTTGGTGTTTTACAGGACTTAAAATATTTCATTTTTTTCTCCCTCTAAATGAAGAATATCTATTTACGGGTAAGATAAATCACTATTTCAACATTATAAAAGGTCAGGAACAGGTTGAAAAATCCTCAGAGCTACCTCTAATTCATGTGACTGTCAGGCACTCTGAAGGGCAGACTCCTCAGGGGTCTCTCTAAGGAAAGAAAGGCCCCTTTTTCCTGTGTGAAGACATGTGACCTCAGTGGGTAACTGCAGACTGAGGCGGGAAGGAAGCCCTCTGCCCTCCTCCTCCACGTGCCAGGTAAGACCAGGCGTGACCGCCACAAGCAACTTGGCCATCATGGGGTACAGATAGCAGTTCAGGCAATATCTAGAATTTGCACCACCAAGAACCAGGACTAATAGAACCATCTGAAGCATAACATAACTTGATATAGTTGAAGAGAGAAAAGAAGCAATAGAAACCTTAAGGCAAATCAACATAATTTACGAAACAACAGGTAGATTTCAAAAAGAACCAGACAATCTAGAAATGAAGAATATCATCATCGAAACAAACCTCTACAGGTTTAACAGAAGACCAGACATTACTAAACACAGAACTAGTGAATTGGAAGGCTTACGGTAGTCAGCAGGCAGCAGAGAGAGATTAAAAATGGAAAATATGAGAAAAGTTAAAATAGAGTAGAATGAAATGTTTCCAAATGTGTCTGAACTAGGAGAGCAAAAAGGGAGCATACTAGGGACACGCACCACCCACAGAAAGCCTAAGAGGCCCTTGGGATTTGACTGACACAGCTCCTCAGATTTAAAGGGCACACCGATCCCAAGTAGGATCAATCAAATAAATCCACATGACACACAAACTGCAGAGCACTGAGTTCAAAGCATAACCTAAGCGCCTAGAAAACAGACCGCTTACATGGAACTAGTGTTAGACAGCCAGCAGACTCCTTCCCTGCGTAAGACAAAGTAATTACATTTCCAAAATACTGCCAAAACAATGAGCTGTATATTCTAAACATGTGAATTGTTTGTGGATTACACTTCAATAAAGCTGTTTAAGAGAAAAAAACCCAAAACTGACCTCATACTCAAGACTATGGTACCCTGTGGTTGACGAGTTTCTAAAGTGGCTCCCACCGGTCCCTGCCTCCTGGTAGTCACAGCGGTGGGCTCGACCTGGCAGCTTGCTTCTAACCAACAGAACGTGGCAACAGTGGTGGAGTGTCACATGCAAATGCAGCTACAAAAGGTAGGGCGTTAGTTTCCGAAAGCTGCCATAATAAATGAACACAAGCTGGTGGTGGGGAACAACCTACTTGTTTTCTCAGGTGACGTCAGGTGCGGGTGGGAGGGCTCCTTGCCAGCCTCCGAGGGAGAACCCGGCCCACGCATCGCTCCCCAGCGGGCAGCTGCCAGCAGTCCGTGCCCCGCCCCTTCCCTCACAGACAAGATTCTACCTCTGCCTCCACCTTCGCGTGGCCTGCATCTCTGTGACCTCTGCTCTTCTTAGGGAGACACTAGTCATTTAGGGCTCACTCTGAATCTGTGGTTTCGTCACACAGTCCTTAACTAGTTCCATCTGAAAGACCCTTCTTCCACATAAGGTCACGTACTGAGGTTCCGGGGATCTGAACTGTGGGGGACACTATTCAACCCATTAAAGATCATGATCCCCACCTTGCTCACACCTCCTTGTTCCTATTTGCTTGCTCCGATGAAGAATGCCGCCACGCTGTGAGGGGCCCTGTGGGGACGCCCACAAGGCGTGGCAGTGAGGGCAGCCTCCAGTCCGCAGCCACCTGAGTGTGCTGGACACAGACAGGACCACAGCCCCAGCAGACACCACGATTCCAGCCTGTGGGGGACCCGGAGACTCCTACCCACAGACACTGCGAGACAGCAAATGCCATTTTAACCATTAAATTTAGGGTCATTAGTTACACAGGAATAAATAACTAATATGTGTACCATATATCACAGTTAAAAAGAATGAAGACCTAATATATGTCAACTGAGAAAAAGCTTACACCGAATAAAAAGCTGACCTGCAATATGATACCACTGCATAAATCTTTTGATCATCCAAAACAATACACTATTGCACACAGAAAAATTAAGAGTGGGAGTGTTAAAATGTTCCGGAGGTTAAGCGGTGAGATGGCCTGTGCAGTAGTAGCTAAGCTCCGGGTGTATGCCCACTAGAACGCCACAGGCCTTCCCTCCAAGCTCCCTCAATAGGCTTGGGTATATCGTTTAGGTTCGCCTGTCACATGCAGCTGTGCAAGACTGTGACTTAGAACGGAGTCAGAAATAGACTCCACCAAAAGGCTATTAGGAACAAAGTTGTGGGACACAAAATCATTGTACAAAAACCAGTGTTCCTATATACTAACAATGAAATACCAAGATGAAAAAACAAAATGAAGAAAGCAGCCTCATTTGTAATTGCGTAAAAAGGATGAATACATCGGAATAAACATTAACACAGGACATGAGTACCTGTACACAGAAATTACAACATGTGAAGGGATATTGAGACACAAAGAAATGGAAAGATACTCTGTGTTCATGGATGGGGAGAATCAACATAGTAAAATGGCCATACTACCAAAGTAATCCATGGATGCAATGCAATCCCTATGAAAATACCAATGACATTTTTCAAAGAAATGTAACAAAAAATACTCAAATTTGTATAGTGCCACAAAAGACCCTGAAGAGCCAGAACAACTGTGAGGAAAAAGGAACAAAGCCAGAGGTATCACACTCTGTGACTTCACATTACACTACAAAGCTACAGTCATCAAAACAGTGTGATATTGATAGAAACAGACACAGGCCGATGCAACAGAACTGAGAGCCCAGAAATACACCTACACATTTATGGTAGCTAGTTTTTGAACAATGAAGATAAAAACATACAATGGAGAAAGGAAAGTCTTTTCAAAAAGTAGTGTTGGGAAAATTGGAAAGCCGCATGTAAAAGAGTGAAACTAGACTGCCATCTGACACCATACACAGAAACTCACTCAAAATGGATTTAAGACTTGAATATAAGACCTGAAGCAATAGAACACACAGAAGAAAACATGAGCACTAGGTTTCTGTGAACTTGATCCTGAAGATAAGGGAAGTAAAAGCAAAAATGAATGAATAGAACTACATCAAACTAAAAAAAAACCTGCACAGCAAAAGAAACCATCAACCAACTGAATAGAAGATATTTGCAAACAATACCTCCAATAAAGGGGCTAATATCCAAATATATAGAGAACACATACAATTCAGCCACAAAATCCAATTAAAAAATGGACAACCTGAACACTGTTCCCAGGAAGACACACAGATGGCCAACAGACATGTGAGAAGATGCTCAGCTTCACTAGCTATAAGGGAAATCAAAATCACAATGACACAGCACCTCATACCTGTTAGAACGATTGTTATAAGGCAAGAAAGAACATGTGTTGGAAAAGCTAAAAGGAGCCCTCATGCACTGCTGGTGGGAACGTAAACTGCTGCGGCTGCTATGGAAAACAGTATGGAGGTTCCTCAAAAAAATCAACAGAGCTACCATATGATCCAGAAACTCCTCTTCTGAGTTTCTACCCCCCAAATTGAAAAACCCATGAAAATGTATGTACCCCAGTGTTCACTGCTGCATTATTCACAGTAGCCAAGATACGGAAACTATTCAAGTGCCCCTCATCGGATGACTGGATAGAGATGATGTGACACGTCCATACGATGGAACACTATGTAGCCATAAAAACTGATGAAATACTGCCATTTCCCACAACATGGATGGATCTCACGGGTATCACGTGAAGTGAAATAAGTCCGATGGAAAAGGATAAGAACCACAGGATTCCACTCACACGTAGGATATAAATCAGAAAGCAAGAAACCAACAAACTCATGGACACAGGCAACAGAATAATTGTGACCAGAGGGGCAGGGGTGAGGAGGACAAAGAGGGGAAACAGGTTTAAGTATATGGTGACACAAGGAGACTAGACTTTGGGTGTAGAACACACAATGCAATATACAGCTGATATACTATAGAAGTGTACACCTAAAAGTGTTACGTACTGTTACCACAATTGATTTCATATTTTTAAAAAAAGAGCCGAGTCACGAATGGACATAAGCACATAAAGGCATCCAGTCTGAGTATCAGAAATGCTTCAGCGGCAACTTTCTGCCTGTGATGAAAGCAAGAGGCTCTGGGGGCCCAGCAGAGCCTGGGCACTTTGGGTTCAGGGAGACTTTCCAGGAAACTCAGCCAAGCCTGTTTCTTCAGCCCAGGCACTGATAAGCCTTCCGCTCCCACTGGCTGGAGGGCCTTCTCCCGTCGGACAGTGAAGGACTCTGACCAAGGCCAGAGAGCCCCACGCCAGCTTCATGAAGGCCGTTCCCTCAGGGGTTGGGGAGGGACTGGTAATAGGAGGACTCTCACAGGAAACTATCTCTACATTTTGTTTTTAGAGGAAAATACCTAAAGCAGACGCAGGAAAATATTAATATTTATCAATTCTGGTATTGGGTATGTCAGTTTTTTAAAAAATATATTACTATACTTTTCTGTATGTTGAAATATTTCATAATAATCTTTTTTTTCTTTTCTTCTTCTTTTTTTTTTAATGTGGAGACCATTCCCGGATAGGGCAGCTGGGGAGAATGTTTATCTTTAAGCAGAGAAAATCTTTCTCAGTAGTGTGCAAAACAGGGAAACCATATGAAAAATTTATAATGAACTCAACCATAAAAATAAAAATATTGTATATACCAACCACAGTACTAAAGAAACAGGAAAATGTCATTCACTTTAGAAAAAGCTTACTCCCACAATACTGATCTTCTAAAACTTTTCACAAAAGGAAATAAACAATTCAG